TACCAAATAGTTATTTATTTATTTATTTATGCCAGTCCTAGGGCTTGAACTCAGCGTCTGAGCACTGTCCCTGAGTTTCTTTTGCTCAAGGCTAACACTCTACGACTTGAACCACAGCACTACTTCCAACTTTTTCTGTGTATGTGGTACTGAGGAATCAAACCCAGGGCTTTATGCATGCTAGGCAAGCACTCTACCACTAAGCCACCTTCCCAGCCCCCAAATGCTTTTTGTATAAGAGCTAATTCACTTCTCCCTTCCCTTTCCTTCCCTCCCTTTCCCCTTTTCTTCCCTTCCCTCCCCTCCCTTTCCTTCTTTTTCTGTCCATCTGTCTTTTCTTTTCCTTCAGTTGAGTTTAACTATGTAGCCCAAATTGGCCTCCAGTTTACAATCCTCCTGCCTCAGCCTTATGAATGCTGGGATTCCACGCCCATACCACCACCACTACCACCACCACCACCGCCACCACCACGCCTGGGCCTAGATTCCAGGCCTTTCCAGGTGCTTTTGGGCAGCAGTGGCAGTTTCCTTTAAGAACAGTTTAAATGAGCCGGGCGCTGGTGGCTCACGCCTGTAATCCTGGCTACTCAGGAGGCTGAGATCTGAGGATCTCGGTTCAAAGCCAGCCCGAGCAGGAAAGGCTGTGAGACTCTATCTCCAATAAACCACCAGAAAACCAGAAGTGGCGCTGTAGCTCAAGTGGTAGAGCGCTAGCCTTGAGCTGAAGAGCTGAGGGACAGCGCCCAGGCCCAGAGTTCAAGCCCCACGACAAAAAAAAAAAAAAAGAACAGTTTAAATGGATGACATTCATTAACTGACAGTAGATGGGGGCAGGCAGGTGGGGGGCACTGAAGTTGAAGTGAGCTTTGAAGTAAACTTGAACTTTGGACCTGACAGGCTTCAGTCAGCCAGGAGACAGGGAAACAGCAATAGGAAGTGAGAATCCCAGCAATTTGTAGTGGAGGAGGAGATATGTTTTCTGTTATTTAATGCATATATGAAAAAGCCCTAACTCAGAGACTACTCAAAACACTCAAAACAGTCACAACAAAATAGAACTGCTATCCGGGTGCTGGTGGCTCACACCTGTAATCCTAGCTACTGAGGAGGCTGAGATCTGAGGATCATGGCTCAAAGCCAGCCCAAGCAGAAAAGTCCCTGAGACTCTTATCTCCAATTAACCACTAGAAAACCGGTAGTGGTGCTATGGCTCAAGCAGTAGAGTGCTTGCCTTGAGCTGAAGAGCTGAGGGACAGCGCCCAGGCCCAGAGTTCAAGCCCCACGACCGACCAAAAAAACAAACAAACAAAAAAAAAACTGGTAGGGCTGGGAATATGGCTTAGTGGTAGGTAGTGAGCTTGCCTAGCAGGCATGAAGCTCTGGGTTCCATTCCTCAATATAACAAAGAAAAGGCAGGCAGTGGCACTGTGGCTTAAGTGGTAGAGTACTAGCTTTGAGCAAAAGAAGCTCAGGGACAGCACATAGTCCCTAAATTGAAGCCCCAGGACTGACAAAAAACAAAACAAAACAAAACCTGCTGTCCCTGAGATGCATCTGGGCAGACAGCAAAGATGACAGATAGCCTCACATCTGAGATGTAGGCACAGCAAAGTGCTCCAAGTGCCCTAATCCTGCAGGAAAGATGGTCTCATACTGGGTAAGGTAGCTAATGCCTATATTCTAAACTTCTCAGTATACTGAGATGTGAGAATTGAGGTTCAAAGCCAGCCTGGGCAAGAAATCTCTATGAAACTCTTAGCTGGAATGAACCACTAAAAAAAAACAGAAGTGAAGCTGTCGCTCAAGTAGTAGAACCCCAGCCTTGAGGGGAAAAAAAAGTAAAAGATGGCATCCAGGCCCAGAGTTCAAGCCCCAGCACCAGCAAGAAAAGAAAAGAAAAAAGGGCCAGAGATTATTTTGGGTCTCCAGAACAATATTCAGGCAGTGACATGAATGCATATTTGGCCAAGCAATTCAACAGATGCTAAGCTTGCCTGGAAAGTGGTTTGGGTGGTCTGAGGGTGGAGGAAATGACCTCAGACCCACTGGACAGATAGACCAACATTAGAGTAAAAAATCTCACGTGCCTCCGCTATGGAAAGAGGAAATCATGGGATTTTTCTCACCAAACATTTTTTTTTGGGGGGGGCAGGAATAATGTTTTACAAGTCATCAGCTAAGCATGGTGGTACATACCTATAATCCCAGTACTCAGGAGGCTGTAAAGCCGGAGGATTGGGGTCTGAGGCTACAAATTGAGATCTATCTCAGTACAAATCTTGAAAGAAGCTATCTGGCCTCTACCAGTACTCTACCTCATCTGCCTTACCTTGACCCAGCACATTTCCTTGTGTATGGATGTCTCTCCACCATTCGGGCTTATGAATCTGTGTGTATGTGTGTGTGTGTGTGTGTGCTGGTCCTGGAACTTGAACTCAGGGCCTGGGAATTGTCTCTGAGCTCATTTGCTCAAGGCTAACACCACTTCAGCCACAGCTCCACATCCAACTTTTTAGTGGTTAATTAGAGATAAGAATCTCAAGGACTGGCTGGGAAGTTGGCTCAGTGGTAGAGCACTTACCTTGCACGCTCAAGGCCCTGGGTTCGATTCCTCAGCACCACATAAGAAAAAAGCCGGAAGTGGCATTGTGGCTCAAGTGGTAGAGTGCTAGCCTTGAGCTGAAGAGCTGAGGGACAGCGCCCAGGCCCAGAGTTTAGGCCCCACGACCGGACCCAAAAAAAAAAAAAAGAATCTCAAGGACTTTTCCTGCCCAGGTTTTCTTTGAATATCCATCTTCAGATCTCCACCTGAGTAGCTAGGGTTATAGGCATGAGTCACCAGTGCCTGATGACTCTTCTGTGTATATATGTGTCTACACTGAGGCTTGTCTACACTGTGTCTACAGTCAGGTCTGGGGCTGCTGGTGCTCTGCCATTTGAGTCATGCCTCCAGTGCAGTATTTTTGCTGGTTAATTGGAGATAGAGTCGAGAAGACCATTCTGCCCAGGCTGGCTTCAAACTAGTGTGATCCTCAGATTTCAGTCTCCTGAATACCTGGGATTATAGGTGTGAAGCACCAAGGTGTGTCTGACTTCTAACTCCTGTCTTCGAGAGACAAGCTTCCACCAAGTGGGAAAGAAAATTGAAGCAATCCTGAGCTTGATGAGAGTCAAGGACAGAACCCTAGGGGAGAGAGAGAGATTTCTTTTTGTTTTCTTTTTTTTTTTGGCAATAGTGGGGTTTGAATTTGGGGCTTTGCTCTTGCCAAACAGTGACACTGAGTAAGAGAAGGGGAGACAGGGCCTCGTTGGGGAAGAAGGAGGGGACTCCCAGCCCTGGCTGGTCCGCCTGGCTCCAGCCAGCCGGCTGTTTCCTGCCCTCCGTGACCCACCACCCCAGCGCAAGCTCGAGGCGGGGCCACGAGGAAGGACAGGGGTGTGGAGAGCACCTCTGGTGGCAGGAAGATAAGTGCGTGGGGACAAGAGGTCACGCAGGGGCCTGTGGTCACTCGAGCGGGATTATGGTATTGGCACCATCTCCTTCCCCTGTCCTGACAGCTCGGCTCCTTCAGACAGGAGCCTCCTTAATTAACCTTCTGAGTCCCAGCCTTTCCTTCCAGTCTGCAGGGGGACCCCACAGGGGCACCCCCTGCCACCCATCCTGCCACCACTACGTAGGTCCTAGTAGAAGGGGGTGGAGGGGCGGGAGGGTGAGTTTCCAGAACCCTCTCCGCACACTGATGGATGGGGATGGGGCGGGTGGCCACCGGAGGAAGGCCCCTCCCAGCCATCCCGAGGGCCCCCAGGAGCCAGACAGGAAACAGCCTCAGGAAAGACAGCGTCCCAGCCCCGGCCCCCGCCCCCCGGGTCACGGTTACAGGCGACGACACGGGGAGGGGGGGGTCAAGAAAGCGAGAGTGCAGATACGTGTGCATCGCTCCGGCCCGCCACCCCTCCGGGGCACGCCCACCGTGGATTTACCCGTGCTCCCAGGGTTTTCCTCGCAAATCAGCGCCCCACCCTCGGCGCTCATTTGTCCACGGCAGGTCGAGCGCCCCGGAGGCCCCCCAACAACACTCACAAGCGTGGGACGCCGTGCGGGCGTGCGCCGCGGGGCTCCTGCCCGCGCAGCCCTCCAAACCCCGGGGCGTCCTCCACCCCCCCCCGTTCTCCCGCTCCCCCTCCCCGCCCCCAAGTGCAACCCCAAGAAGCAGTTCGGGGGGGTGGTGGGCAGCTCCCGGGATCGGGGCCTCCAGTCCGCGCGGCCGGGTCGGAGCGGGCTTTGTGCGTGCAGGGCGCGTTTCCACGCGCAGCGGGGCGGCCCTCGGCGGGGTCGGATGTTTCTGCCTGCTTCCGGGGTGCCCGCTGGACCCGAGGCTGTCCCGAGGGGTTCCCCAGGCCACTAGCCTGACACGCGCGTTCCGGGGCCGGACGCGCGGCGTCCGCGCAGGTCGGGGCGGGCCCGGGGCTCCGCGCCCCTCCCCCTGCGCCAAACTTTCTCCAACTTCGCCGCGCGCTCCCACCGCGGCGCGGCCCCGCCCCCTCGTGAATTATTCATCAGGGAGCGGGCCAATCAGCGTGCTCGCCTCGCGCTCCCTCTTCTCTCCGAGTCTCCCCCCTCCCACCCCTGCCAGGACAGGGCTGGGCGGAGGGAAGGGGGGGCTTGCCCCAACTCCGCCCCGCGCCCCTCCCTCCCCGGCCCGCCCGCCCCGCGCGCCCCTCCCTCTCCGGCCCCGCGCCGCCCCCTCCCTCCCTCCGGGTCCGGGCCGGCGCGGCTCCCACCGTCCTCGCCCGCGCGGAGCGCTCCCGGCCCGGCGGCGCGAGCTGAGCCGCTGTAGAGAGAGTAGGGGGAAGATCGCGAGCGGACGGCCCACCCCGGCCAGCCTGGGCGGGACCCCCAAACTCCAGCCGCAACTCTCTCTCTCTCTTTCCCTCTCTCCCCCCCACCCCACACCCCTCGCGCGCCCGCCCAGCGCCTCTCGCCACGGCCGGGGCGCCCCGCACACGGCCTCCCGCGCGCGCGGCGGGGACGCGGGGCCACACCTGGGCGCCGCCGCCCGGTGCCCGGAGCCTCCGCATGGGCCGCCGCTGACCGAGGGCCCCGACGGAGACGCCCCGGTGCGTCGTCGGCGCCCACCCGCCCAGGGGAGGGTCAGACCTGGGGGGGCTAGGGCCCCCCAAACTCGGATCGGATCCAACGCGATCGAGGAGGCGCCATGGAGCTGCGGGCGCTGCTCTGCTGGGCTTCGCTGGCTGCCGCTTTAGAAGGTGAGTTTCCCCGGCGGCACCCCGCCGTTCCTGGAACTCCCTCTCCTCCCCCCCTAAAAAAGAGTTGAGCCTGGGAGCGGAGGATCCGACCTGTTCTTTATCTGTCTCCCCGCACCCCGACCCCCCAACACCGCGCACCAACAGTGCGAGGCGGAGGGGGCGGGGAGAGGCGGCCGCCGGGGAGTGGAGTTTTCTTTTGTTTGGGAAAAGAGCTGGAGTCGGGCCCCGACCCGGGACTTTCCTGTACCCCTGCACCCCACATTCTCAACCTCTCGTGCCGGACGCCCGTGGCAGCCTTTCCTTCCTTCCCCACCTCGGGGGTCCAAGATGACCCCCCAAAGTTTCCGTCCGACTTCTCACTTCGGGCTAAGCGGGAGGAGGGAAGGACGCTTCCAGACAGACCTGCAGCTGCAGCCCGGGCACAACTTCGTGCTAGGCCCGATCACCGAGCCCCCCCCCCCCCCCCCCGTGAATTCCCCAGCATCCCCACCTGGGTTTGCACCCCTCGGAATGCCCCTCCCCGCCTGCAGTCCCACAACACACGCCCCGAAAGGCTCCCCAGGCCAGTTCCCCTTCTGCAGGCAAGCCTCTCCCCTGGTTTCCCCAGGCTGTACCCCAACTTTTTAAAAATGCCATCTAGACCCCAGCTCAGCCCACATCCGTGACTTTTCTCCCTCCTGACAAACCTGCACAAAGTGTTCATCCATGTCCTCGGGTCACCCCCTAACTTTGCACAACTACCATATCTTAGTCACCCCAAGTTTCTATATTTCCTTTTTTCTTTCTTTCTTTTTTCTTCTTTCTGTTTTCCAAGATCTCTGAGTCTTTCTTCTGTCGCCATGCCCCAGAGGAGCAGCCCAGAGTCCAATCAACCACTCTGCTTTGCGGTCCCTAATCTCCTTTCAATGAGCTGTTCCCCCCACCCCCCAGACTCCCCAGTTCTCTTCACTGCTTAGACTCAAAGGGGTCTCTGGGGAGTGGGCTTTGGTGTGTGTGTAAGGGGGGGGAGTTGCTGCTGACCAGGAGAAATCAAAGGCAATTGGAAGACTTCTCTCCCTGGCTGGGCAGAGCCGCTCTGGACTAGGGATCAAAGGCCGAGTATTTGGAGGGAGTTTTGGGAGCCTGGGGCCAAGGGAAGAGGAAACCTAGGGGCAGAAAAATCTGGGGGACAAAGTGTACTGGGGAGGAGGAGGGGAGAGAAAGGTGTAAAGAGGAAATTGCTCATTCTTGTGTGCTTTCCAAGCCCTAATCCTCCCTTAGCTTTATGGATTCTTTTACCTCCAGCCGCTCTCACCTCCTCCCATTTTCCCGATGGGAAGGCTGAGGCTTAGAAATGTTCAGTTTATCCAAAACTCTCCAGAAGGCGCTGGAAGACGTACATCGGAGGAGGGGAGAGGTAGTGACAGAAAGGCAAATGGAAGTGGGACAGAGCTGGGGAGAAAGAGGTGAGGGAGGCTTGTGAACGGCCGCATCAAAGGGATGGTGGAGGCTGGAGGAAGAGAGAGTGAGGCCATGCCCAGCCCCGAGTGTGGAGGACACTGTTGTAAATTGGAGACAGGAAAACGCCATCCAGGCTTGAACAATGGAGGGTGGAGACCACAGCCTCGATTCTCCCCCTTCCCAGCACTCCAGGCATCCTGTCCCAAAGTGCTGGGCGGCTGCTTCACCCACGGGGAACCCTGGGCCTCACCGTGGGCCCCCTAGGTTTTTTTCCTGCACCGAATCCCCCAGTGCACCGGTCCCTAGGAAGAGGCTGCCACACCCACGGGGGGGGGGGGGGGGGGGGGGGCTTAGCTTCTCCTCTGCCACCCCAGAGGGGTAGGGGTGGAGGAGCGGATTCCAGGTGTGCAGCTGGGTCCCTTACCAGCCTCCTCCCAGGCAGGTCTCTGCCTCCTGCCCCTCCCCACGGTGCCCTGGCCTCTGGAGGGGGGCCTCTGCCACTGCCAAGGGGCATTCCTGCAATTTTTCCTAATCCCTTTCTGCCAGAATCCTGGTCCCCCCCTCCCCCTTCTTCCCCCTCTTCTCCCTTCTCTCCCCCCCACCCCCCCCAGATGCTAGAGCCCAGCCAGGTGTGTTCACACTTCCCCTATGCCTTCTCCTAAAATCTCTTCCCCTGTTCCTCCTCATAACCGAATCCAGATGTGGGGCCTCTCTGCTGGGGCAGGGCGGGAACCCCAGCGTCCTGGTCCCGGCCTCCAGCATTTCCTCCTTCCAGGCTGGCAGTACCCCAGGGGGAGGGGCTGTGCCTCAGGTGCCCGTCATCTCTCTGGTGGGAAGGACGGGAACCTTTGGTGTGGAAGGGGTGGCAACCAGGAGGAGGAGGAGTGGGGGTGGGGCAGCAGAGGTTGGGGTAAGGATGGGGCTCTTTTCTCCCAGATTGCTCCCCTCCCTCCCTCCTTCCCCTCCTCCTCCAGGGCCCAGCCGCTCTAGAAGGCCCAGGTCTGGGCGACCTGAGGCAGTCCAGTACCTGCCAGCTGTTGAAGGTGGGGCTGGCACTCCACACAAGAGGCCTGCTGGAGAGGGGGTGCCGAGGGCAGGGCTCACCCTCCCTCCCTTCCAGTCCCCTGACTCCAGCTTGCAGCCGGGGAGCTGGGCCTGCAGGGAAGGTTGAGGCTCACTCACCTCTTTGTCTCTTAGAAACTCTGCTAAACACAAAACTGGAAACTGCAGATCTGAAGTGGGTGACATTCCCTCAGGTGGAAGGGCAGGTAAGAGTGGGGGGGCTGCTTTGTCTCTGGATGGGGTGTCCTGAGCACCTGGTATCCCCAAATCGCTCCTCAGACTCCCTCCCCTCCTCAAGTTCCCTCCCCTCCTCCTTCCTTCCTTCCTTCCTTCCTCTCTCTCTCTCTCTCTCTCTCCCTCCCTCCCTCCTTTCCTTCCTTTCTCCCTCCCTTCCTTCCTTTCATTTGTACCAGTACTGGGGCTTGAACTCAGGAATTGGGTGTTCTCTCTTAGCCTTTTGACTTTAGATTGGTGCTCTACCACTTGAACCACAGCTCCACTTTTCTTTTCCTTTTTTTTTTTTTGTGGGGGGGGGGTCCAGTCATGGGGCCTGAACTCTGGGCCTGGGCACTGTCCCTTAGCTCTTCAGCTCAAGGCTAGCGCTCTACCACTTGAGCCACAGCGCCACTTCTGGCTTTTTTTTCTTTTTGCTTATGTGGTGCTGAGGAATCGAACCCAGGGCCTCAGGCATGAAAGGCAAGCGCTCTACCGCTGAGCCACCTTCCCAGCCCTCCTTTTTTTTTTTTTTTGCCAGTCCTGGGCTTGCACTCAGGGCCTGGACATTGTCCCTGAGCCTCTCTGTGCTCAAGGCTAGCATTCTACTACTTGCACCACTTCTGGCTTTCTCTGTTTATATGGTACTGAGGGATTGAACCCAGGGCCTCGTGGATACTAGGCAAGCACTCTACCACCAAGCCACCTTCCCAGCCCACAGCTCCACTTTCTGCTGCTTAATTAGAGATAAGAGGCTCATGGACTTTTCTACCCGGGTAGACTTTTGAACATCTCAGCTCTCAGCCAGGGTGACAGGCCTGAGAGCCACAGAACCTGTGTGACTCTGCCCCCCTCTCTCGGTGCAGTGGGAAGAGCTCAGCGGCCTGGACGAGGAGCAGCACAGTGTGCGCACCTACGAGGTGTGTGATATGCAGCGTGCCCCTGGCCAGGCGCACTGGCTGCGCACGGGCTGGGTACCCCGGCGCGGTGCCGTGCATGTCTACGCCACGCTGCGCTTCACCATGCTTGAGTGCCTGTCCCTGCCCCGGGCCGGTCGGTCCTGCAAGGAGACCTTCACCGTCTTCTACTATGAGAGTGAGGCAGACACGGCCACAGCACACACGCCAGCCTGGATGGAGAACCCCTACATCAAGGTACCCAGCACCCATCAGGGACGCGCTCCGGGGTGGGTGCCTTGTCTTCCAGCTCCACCTCCCAGATGCTGCCCGGGTAACCCTGGCTGATTCCACTTTTCTGAGTCCTCATTTTTCTCTGTCTTCCTGTCTCCCTCTGGCTGATACCTTTCTTTTTTTGGTTCCAGTCCTAGGGCTTGAACTCAGGGCCTGGGCACTGTTTGTGAGCTTTTTGCTCAAGGCTGGTGCTCTAGCACTCTAAACCACAGCTCCACTTCGGTGTTTTGGGTTTTTGTTGTTGTTGTTGTTTTTAATTTTTTTATTTGGTGCTCACGTGGAGATAAGAGTCACCAACTTTCCTGCTCAGCTAATTTCCAACTTCAATCCTCCGATCTCAGCCTCCGGCATAGTTGGGATTACAGGCGTGAGCTACAGCACTTGTCTTGCTTGTTTATCACATCTTTGTTTTTTGGGTCCGGTCGTGGGGCCTGAACTCTGGGCCTGGGCGCTGTCCCTCAGCTCTTCAGCTCAAGGCTAGCGCTCTACCACTTGGGCCACAGCGCCACTTCTGGCTTTTTTTTCTTTTTGCTTCTGTGGTGCTGAGGAATCGAACCCAGGGCCTCAGGCATGCAAGGCAAGCGCTCTACCACTGAGCCATCTTCCCAGCCCCGCATCTTTGTGACTCTGTGACTCATCCCTGTCTTTCTCCTTCACTCTGGGAAGAGGATCTGGCATTTTCTGGGTGTAGAGAAGAGCAGGGGGCTGGGAGGGGAGCAGAACGAAGGCTGGATGATGTACTGGAGGTGCTCAGTAAGGATTAATTGGACAGCTTTGGAGGTTGCAGGAAAGTTATTGGGGGTAAAATGCAGTGGAAAGTTCTGGAACAAATGAAGGGAGCCTGCTAGAGGGGGAGTTGGGACAAAGAAAATCCACTGCTCCTGAGAGAAGCGGACAGGGCCAGTGAGTCGCCCTCTCCCCGTCTCCTGCCAGGTGGACACAGTGGCTGCTGAGCACCTGACTCGGAAGCGCCCAGGGGCCGAGGCCACCGGCAAGGTGAACGTGAAGACGCTGCGGCTCGGGCCGCTCAGCAAGGCCGGCTTCTACCTGGCCTTCCAGGACCAGGGCGCCTGCATGGCGCTGCTGTCCCTCCACCTCTTCTACAAGAAGTGCTCCGAGAAGACCATGAACCTCACCCGCTTCCCAGAAACTGTGCCCCGCGAGCTGGTGGTGCCCGTGGCGGGCAGCTGCGTGGCCAATGCACGCCCCGCACCTGGTCCCAGCCCCAGCCTCTACTGCCGGGAAGATGGCCAGTGGGCAGAGCAGCCCGTCACCGGCTGCTGGTGTGTGCCTGGGTTCGAGGCCACTGAGGGGAACAAAAAATGCAGAGGTGAGGGCTTAATTTCTTTTCCTTTGGTTTCGTGCCGGTGGCGGGACTCAAACTCAGGGCCTGAGGTTTTTCTATCAAAACTGCTGCTCTCCCATTACAGCCACAGCTCCACTTCTTGCTTTTTAGTGGTAAGTGGAAGATGAGTCTTCCAGACTTTCCTACTTGGGCTGGCTTTGAACTGTGATCCTCACATCTCAGCCTCCTGAGTGGCTAGGATGACAGGCATGAGCCACCGGTGCCTGGCTTCATTATGACTTAAATACTATCAGAGTTGATGAGATTTGCCACTGTATTTTGTGTGTGGGGTGTGTATGTGTGTGGGGGGTGTATTTCTTTTTTATTGCTATTATAAAGGTGATATACAGAGGGGTCACAGTTATGTGAGTCAGGTAAGGAGTACATTTCTTTTTGGACAATGTCACCCTTCCCTTGCTCTCTCCCAGTTTTTCCCTCCCATCCCCACCCACAAGTTATATAGTTCATTTTCAACAGTGTCCAGTGAGTACCACGGCTGCGTTGGTTCACTCTGTTCCTCATTTCTGTGCCTCTTACTTACCCTCCCAAAGACAGATAAACACACAAGACAGAAAAAAAAAACAGCAAAGAAGGAGGAAAAAAAACTTCATTTCCTAGTGTGTGTGTGTGTGTGTGTGTACTTTTTTTTTTTTTTGTCGTGGGGATTGAACTCTGGGCCTGGGCGCTGTCCCTCAGCTCTTCAGCTCAAAGTGAGCACTCTATCTACTTGAGCCACAGCACCACTTCTGCTTTTCTGAGTGGTTTATTGGAGATAAGAGTCTCACAGACTTTCCTGGCTTTGAACCATGATCCTCAGATCTCAGCCTCCTGAGTAGCTAGAATTACAGGCATGAGCCACTGCCACCCAGCTTGTATATTTTTGTTGTTGCCTTCTGAAATCATGTGGTTTTGAATTGTTCCAGACAGGGTCTCACCACGTAGCCCAAGCTGGCTTCTCAGCCTCTGGAATGCTGGGACTATAGGAGTGTACCACTCTGCCCAGCTTGTATCTGCCCCTGTTTACAGGGACACACATGGTGCTATATTATCAGTGTATAGATTTCTTTTTAACACTTACAATTGTGTTGATATTTATTTGATTTTGTTGGGAAGCCTACATACTTTGTGGTATACATTTAAAATTATTATTCTAATCAGAAGTGTGGGTGCTTCATTAGACTGTGAAAGTCAGATAGAAAATACCCCTGGGGTGCTGGTGGCTCATGTCTGTAGCTACTGAGATCTGAGGATTGCAGTTCAAAGCCAGTCCAGTAGGGAAGTCCATGAGACTCTCATCTCTAATAAAAACCACCAGAAAACCAGAAGTGGCGTTGTGGCTTAAGTGGTAGAGAGCTCGCTTTGAACTGAAGAGCTCAGGGACAGCACCTGGGCCCAGAATTCAAGCCCCGCGACCAACCAAAAGAAAAAATACCTTCCATGGTTAAAGGGTCTGTCCTCTCTCCCCACCCCCCCTTAGTTTTTGTTTTTCAGTATTGAGATTTGGACCCAGAGCCTGTTATTGGTTGGCTTGCTAGCTAGGCAGGCACTCTACCATTTAAGTAACATTTGTAGCTCAACTTGTTGCTGGTTAATTTGGAGACAGAATTTCAAAGACTTCTGTTCTGGGCTGTGAATCCTCAGATTGACCTTCTGAGTAGCTAGGATTACAGGTGTGCACCACTGGCACCAGCTGCCCATAGATGTTTCTCAGATCCTTCCATGCCATTTGAACTGTGATCCTCAGATCTCAGCCTCTGTTTCATCTTACCACTGCATGCAACCTGGATGGTGTGTGTGTGTGTGTGCGCGCGCGCACGCGCGTGCGTGCGTGTGTTGGGGCTGGGACTTGAACCCAGGGCCTCACGAATTCACTTGGGTTTTTCCTCTCAAAGCTGGCTCTCTACCATTTGAGCCACAGCTCTACTTCTGGCCATTTTTGCTGGTTAATTGGAGTTAAGAGGCTGGAGGGTTTTTCTGCCAGGGCTGGCTTCATGGCTTTGATCTCAGGTCCTCCGATCTCAGCCTCCTGAGTGGCTGAGGTTACAGGTGTGAGCTATGTCGCCCTGCCCAGCTTCTGTGGTTTGGGGTTTGGACGCCCGAGTGTGCGTGCACATTCTCACCCATCCTCTCCCTCAGCCTGTGGCCAGGGCACCTTCAAGCCCCAGTCAGGAGAGGGGTCCTGCCAGCCGTGCCCAGCCAACAGCCACACGAACACCATCGGATCGCCCTTCTGCCAGTGCCGGAATGGCTACTACCGGACCCGCGCAGACGAGCGCAGCGCCCCCTGCACCAGTGAGTGGCAGCGCCCAGAGCCTGGGAGCGGGGGTTCCCGGGGTGGACCCCGCACAGCCCTCACCCTCCCGAGCCCCCCACCCTCGGGCTGACCCCCGCTTCCCGCAGCCCCGCCCTCGGCGCCCCGGAGCGTGGTCCCGCACCTGAACGGCTCCCACCTGCGCCTGGAGTGGAGCGCGCCCCTGGAGTCGGGGGGCCGGGACGACCTCACCTACGCCCTGCGCTGCCACGAGTGCCGCCCTGGGGGCTCCTGCCTGCCCTGCGGGGGAGACCTGACCTTCGACCCCGGCCCCCGGAACCTCCAGGAGCCCTGGGTGGCAGTTCGAGGGCTGCGCCCCGATTTCACCTACACCTTCGAGGTCTCCGCCCTGAACGGCGTGTCTTCCTTAGCCTCAGGGCCTGTGCCATTTGAGGCCGTCAATGTCACCACGGACCGCGAGGGTGAGGCTGGGGGTGGGGGCGAGGCGGGGCTGGGGGTGTCCTTAGAAGGAGCAGTAGAGGAGTTCTGCGGCTGGTTCTGGGGCGGGGCTCCTGTAATCCTGGCCTTGGCCCCACCCCTGAGGGTGTGACTAAGGCATCGGGGGCGTGGCCAAGGTGGTGGGGGCGTGGCTCTGGTGATAGGCCATTGGCTAGCTCCAACAGTAGGGGCGTGGCCCAACTAGCTGCCTAGCAAAGCCCAAGTTACTGAGTTCAATCCTCAATCCACCAAGAGGTAGAGGGTGTTAGGTAAATTAGATAGGTTGAATTAGGTAGCTGATACAGAGAACACCACGTGAAGAGAAGTTTATTGTATTGCCTAGCTGCTCCGCCCCCCGCCCCCCCATGGTGGAGAAGCACATGGTCGTGGGGCCTGGGCTGGGGGGCTGTCTTGCCCAGCCTTAACGTGTGGTCAAGTAAAGAAGGTTTGGCACCACTAGGTGCCTGGGACCCTTCCAGGGTCGGATGGGAGGCGTGGGGGGGGGGGGGTCCAGGATGTGACAGAGGAGGGGAAGGTGACTACCGTTTACCTAGGTGATATAGGTCTTGGGCAGAGATGTAGCCAAGAGAAGGGAGGAGTCTGCCTCACTTTCCCAGAGTGAACCCTTACAAAGGGAGCAAACAAAAGAGCCAGTGGCTCACCCCTGTAATCCTAGCTACTCAGGAGGCTGAGATCTGAGGACCGCGGTTCACAGCTAGCCCGGGCAGGAGAGACCGTGAGACTCTTATCTCCAATAAACCACTGGAAAACCGGAAGTGGTGCTGTAGCTCAAGCGGTAGAGCGCTCGCCTTGAGCTGAAGAGCTGAGGGACAGCGCCCAGGCCCAGAGTTCAAGCCCCATGACCGACCAAAAAAAAAAAAAAGGAGCCTCTGGTCTGGATAGACTGAGAATTTGAAGGAAAAAGGCGAGCACTGGGAAGTGGAGTCCATCCACAGAAAGAGTGGAGGGCCAAGAAACAGACATAAGTGTGTTGGTTAAAGGACAGGATGGCCTTAGGGGCAGAGTCCCAAGATGTTGGGCCGCAGATGATTCATGCCTATCATCCTAGCTACTGAGGAGGCTGTGATATGGAGGATCACAGTTCAAAGCCAGCCCAGGCAGAAAAGTCTGTGATACTCCATCTCACAGTTAACCAGTCAAAAGCTAGGTTGGGAGTGTGGCTCAAGTGGTCAAGCTTCAGGAGCAAGTGGAAGGCCCTGATTTCAAGCCCTGGTCCAACCAAAAAATAAAAAATAAAAGAGGTGGGGAAAGTGAAGACTAGACAGAGCGGCAAGTTCCTGCATGTCTTTCTTACAGTGCCACCTGCAGTATCTGACATTCGTGTGACCCGGTCATCACCCAGCAGCTTGAGCCTTTCGTGGGCTGTTCCCCGAGCACCCAGCGGGGCTGTGTTGGATTATGAAGTCAAGTACCATGAGAAGGTGAGGCCAGGCCCTGACTTAGTAGTGGTGGTGGGAGAGGCCTAGGCTCTGAACTGCAGACATGTGACCTGAACTTGAATTTCAGGTGGGCCATGTGTGCGCTGTGTGACCTTGAGCCAGTCCTTTAGCCTCTCTGAGCCTTGCTATCATTTGTAAAATAATTATAAAGCAATCCAATGTGGTAAGGAATGCAATATCCACCCACGTGAGCTCACAGAGACCCCCAGTGTCAAGGGAGCGGTGTGGGGGGCTGGGGGAGACAGGAAGAGCAGCAAGAAACCAAGGTGTGGGGCGAGGGGGTTCTGGCTTACAGTGATCCTCTTTTTATTCTGGGACAGGGTGCGGAGGGGCCTAGCAGTGTGCGGTTCCTGAAGACATCAGAGAACCGAGCGGAGCTCCGGGGGCTGAAGCGGGGAGCCAGCTACCTGGTCCAGGTGCGGGCACGCTCTGAAGCCGGCTACGGCCCCTTTGGCCTCGAGCACCACAGTCAGACACAGCTGGATGGTATGTGTGGGCAGTGGGTGAGCAAGGTGGGGGGCCTTACCTCTGCTTCTGTGAGGCACCCCAAAAGTCATATTCTCATTCTCCTTTTATCGAGGGGATGGCAGTACTGGGGCTTGAACTCAAGGTTTGGGTGCTGGTCCCTGACCAAGTTTTGCTCAAGGTTGGTGCTCTACCACTTGAGCCACAGCTTCACTTAGGGCTTTTTGATGGCTAATTCGTGATGAAAGTCTCACAGAGCCGGGCGCTGGTGGCTCACACCTATACTCCTAGCTACTCAGGAGGCTGAGATCTGAGGATTGTAGTTTGAAGCCAGCCTGGACAGGAAAGTCCCTAAGACTCTCATCTTCAACTGAACACTGGAAGTGGAGCTGTGGCTCAAAATGATAGAGCACAAGCCTTGAGCAAAAAAGTTCAGGGACAGCATCCAGGCCCTGAGTTCAAGACCCAAGACAGACAAGATAAAAAAGTCTCACAGATTTTCCTGCCCAGGTTGCCTCTGAGCCTCAATCCTCAAATCTCAGCCTCTAGGATTGCTGGTGTGAGCCACCGGTGCCCAGCTCAGTCTGCTTTTTTGCTGCTTCACTGGAGATGAAGTCTTGAATTCTCTGCCTAAGTTGGCTTTGAACTTCCATGCTGTGGATCACAGCCTGCTAAGTAGCTAGGATTATAAGTATAAGCTGTCAGCGTCTGGCCAGAAGTGGAATTTTCCCCCCCTGAGCATAAAGTCTGCAAGGTTCATGTTCTAGCCTGTTCCAGTGCTTCATTCCTTTTTATAGACAAGTAATTATCTGTTGTATGACTCTAGCACATGTTCTTTCTTCATTCATTCGTCTGTGAATGAATTCTTTTCATTCTGGATCCTTTGTGTGTATTAGTGGTACTGGAGATTGAACTCCAGACCTTTTGCTTAAAGCGCATGAGCCACACCTCCACTTCTAGCTTTTTGCTAATAAAGATTAGTGTCTCCTTGATTTGTCTGCCTGGGCTAGCTTCAAAACCAGATCCTCAGATCTCAGCCTTCTGAGTAGTGAGGTTGACAGGTGTGAGCCACGGGTACCTGGCACAGGAGACTAAGTTCAGCAGCATTGAGATTAAAGTGCTGGGGGAGTCCAGAGCAGTCTGGAACCCACGTGCACTTCCTGCCACCTGTCACCGTGGGCGGGGCCTGTATTCAGGAACTCAGTCCATTTCCCAATGTTAGGGCCCGGGCTGCAGGGGCTGTAAGGTCAGCTGACCAGTGGCATCTTCTCCTGCAGAGAGTGAGAACTGGCGCGAGCAGCTGGCCCTCATTGTGGGCACGGCGGTCGTGGGCGTGGTGCTGGTGGTGGTGGTGGTGGTGATCGCCGTGCTCTGCCTCAGGTAAGGAAGGACTTGGGGAGCCCTCGGGCCCCTGGAGGCCCTATGCGGACGGCCTTGTGAGAAAAGCCCTATTGTCCACATACTGCCCTGTTTTCATTTCCACCGTCCTCTTCTCTAGTTAGAGATGCTTGACTCAGTTTACTTTTTGTGTATCTGTGTATGCCAGTCTTAGAACTTGAACTCAGGGCCTGGGCTTTGTCTGTGTGCTTTGTTGCTCAAAGCTGGTGCTCTACCACGTGAGCCACAGCCCTACTTGCAGCCTTTTGGTAGTTAATTGAAAGTAAGAGTCTCACAGATTTTCCCGCCCAAGGCTGGCTTTGAACTGCGATCCTCAGATCTCAGCCTCCTGAGTAGCTAGGAGGACAGGTGTGAGCCCCCTGATCCACCCCTGGGTTTACTAACCTCTTTTGCTTCTTTCCCCCTGGCTGCAGAAAGCACAGCAGTGAGAGGGAGGTGGAGTACTCAGACAAGCACGGACAGTATCTCATCGGGCATGGTAGGCAGGTGGACCCTAAAGGAAATGGGGAAGCAGGGTGGAGGCTGGACACCCGGAGTCCAGAAGTTTCTTCACAGCTCATGAGGGCCCTGGTGACTCCTTAGGTACGAAGGTCTACATTGACCCCTTCACTTACGAAGACCCTAATGAGGCAGTGAGGGAATTTGCCAAAGAGATCGACGTGTCCTACGTCAAGATTGAGGAGGTGATCGGTGCAGGTGAGGCTGGGTGATGGGGGAGGGGGCACCTAGGAATGCAGCAGGCTGGGAGTCAGGGCACCCTGGGGCAGTGGAGAGCCACCCTCGACTGGATCTTTCTGTGGGCAGGCGAGTTTGGAGAGGTGTGCCGGGGGCGGCTGAAGGCCCCGGGAAAGAAGGAGAGCTGCGTAGCAATCAAGACCCTCAAGGGTGGCTACACAGAGCGCCAGCGTCGCGAGTTCCTGAGCGAGGCCTCCATCATGGGCCAGTTTGAGCACCCCAACATTATCCGCCTGGAAGGAGTGGTAACCAACAGCGTGCCCGTCATGATCCTCACGGAGTTCATGGAGAATGGAGCCCTGGACTCCTTCCTGCGGGTGAGTTTATCCCACCGGGGTCTGAGTCCAGCCACACTCCACAGCAGGTGTGTCCCGCCGGGCCTGGCAGTGCACACCTGTAATCCCAGCGTGCCGCCGCAGGCTGGGGCCCGAGGAGCCTGAATTCCAGGCCAGCCTGGACTACATAGTGAGACCAAATCTCAAAAAGGAAGAAAAAGCCAAGCACTGGTGGCTCACACCTGTCATCCTAGCTACTCAGGAGGCTGAGATCTGAGGATCACAGTTCAAAGCCAGCCCAGGCAGAAAAGTCTCTCTTATCTCCAGTAAACTAATCAGAAAAAGCCAGAAGTGGCACTGTGACTCAAGTGGTAGAGTGCTAGCCTTGAGCAAAAAGAAGCTTAAGGACAGGACAGGCTTTGAGCTCAAGCCCTAGGACTGGCAAAGGAAAAAAAAAATGGACAGATTAAGGTTTACACCTGTACCAGCCTTCTCCTCTTGGTAACTCTGGGCTTCCCACTCTTATTTTGTTTTCTTTGAGAAAGGTTCTGACATAAAACTTTCCTTTGACCTCTCTGTGGGGCCAGCTGGCTCTCTTGCCAGTTCAGGGACCCAGGAAATAGAGCTTTAGTAAACAGCTTTATTTGTTTTTCTTTCCTTTCTTTCTTCCCTCCCAACCCTCCCCCACCACCTACAGAGTTTGAACTCAGGATCCTCACATTTGCTTAGCTTGCTTGTTCACAACTGGTGCTCTACCGCTCAAACCACACTGATAACTTTACTTTTTACTGGTTAATTAGATAGTCTGGAGGACTTCTCTGCTTAGGCTGGCTCTGAACCTTGATCCTTGTGATCTCAGCTTCCTGAGTATCTAGGATTTACAGGCATGAGCCACTGGCCCCTGGGCATATTTGATTTTAATTTTAATTTTAGTCTCATGGAAATTAACAAAATAAGTAGACTTGTGCATCTGTGTGATGTGGGGACTCAGACCAATAGCTCTTCCTTCATCCAGCACAAATGGACTTTTTTTTTGGGGGGGGGGGTGTCCAGTTGTGGGCCTGAACTCTGGGCCTGGTCGCTGTCCCTCAGCTCTTCAGCTCAAGGCTAGCGCTCTACGACTTGAGCCATAGTGCCACTTCTGGCTTTTTTCTTTTTGCTTATGTGGTGCTGAGGAATCGAACCCAGGGCCTCATGCATGCAAGGCAAGCGCTCTACCACTGAGCCACCTTCCCAGCCCCCCCCCCCCTTTTATCAGTTGTGGGGCTTGAACTTGGGGCCTGGGCGCTGTCCCTGAGCTCTTCAGTTCAAGGTGAGCACCCTACCACTTGAGCCACAGCACCACTTCTGGGTTTTTTTGTTGGTTAATTGGAGATAAGAGTCTCACGGACTTACCTGCACAGACTGGCTTTGAACTGTGATCCTCAGATCTCAGCCTCCAGAGTAGCTAGGATGACAGGCGCCTGGCAACAAATGGACTTTTTTTTTTGTATTGGTACTGGCTTGAACTCAGGGTCTGGGGGGCTGTTCTTTAGCTTTATCACTCAAGGCTGGCACTCTGCTACTTGAACTACAGCTCCACTTTGGGCTTCTTCCTGGTTAATTGGAGGTAAGAGTCTCCCACACTTTCCTGCTGAGGCTGGCTTTGAACCTTGCGCCTCAGCTCTCAGCCTCCCGAGTAGCTGGGATGGCAGCCACCCATGAGCCACAGATGCCCGGGTTAAATCCTGGAGAGTTCTTGTGACATTGCTGTGGTGAAAAGTGGACCCTTGTGTCTTAGATGGCTCCTGCCGTCTAGACGTGTGGCTCAGCTCCACTGTTCTGTGTTTGCTGTCATCTACGCTCTTCTTGGTACTCTGAGAAGTAGGGTCAGGTGTGTGTGAAGAGCTTGACAGGGTATATGGGGGTGCTGGGGAGTTTATGTGGTTCCCTCAGGAGAGACCCATTCTGGCTTCCACCATCAACCCCAGAGGACAGCCTGACCCCTCCCTGTGGACCCACCAGTCTGTATTGTGACTGTATTGTGGCCATGCAAAGGTCCTGGTGCAGGGAGAGGAGGAGGATGTATAGATGAGGAAGAACCAGCCATGGGATGGGGAGTAGATAGAACTAGAGGAAAACAGGCCAGCTGCATATAGTGGCGGCCATCTAGAATCCCAGCTACTTGGGGAGGTTGAGACTAGACAGAAAAAAGTCACCAAGACCCTAGCTTAAAAAGAAATAGATACACAATGGAATTCTATGCCTCCATCAGAAAGAATGACATTGCCCCACTTATTAAGAAATGGAAAGACTTGGAAAAAATTATATTAAGTGAAGTAAGCCAGGCCCAAAGAAACATAGGTCCCATGGTTTCCCTTATTTGCAATAATTAATATATGTCTGAGTCAAGCAGAAAAGGTCAGATAAGATAATGTTAGGGAAATAAACCCTAAGATATGTATTCAAATGTTTTTTTTCTTTCATACGATTGTTTCTAACACATAAGATTATTTCTTTGTTGCTTTGTATGTCCCTCCCCCACGGTATAACCCCTGCTTTCACTGTATTTGATGTTGGTATAATTTGTGGAGGGGAAGGGAAAAAACAAATTGTTGAAATAGGGATACAGGTGGACCCATTGCAACAATGAGATGTACAAGTCGTTATGTCGAAAATGAACTTTACAACTTTGGTGGGTGGGGGAGGAGGATGATTGTGGGGGGGACAAGGGGAGGGATAGGAAGGGGAAACTAAGGAGGAGGCTACAATGCTTGATAAGGAATGTACTCATTGGGCTGGGAAGGTGGCTCAGTGGTAGAGCGCTTGCCTTGCATGCATGAGGCCCTGAGTTCGATTCCTCAGCACCACATAAGCAAAAAAGAAAGAAGCCTGAAGTGGCGCTGTGGCTCAAGTGGTAGAGCGCTAGCGTTGAGCTGAAGAGCTGAGATACAGCGCCCAGGCCCAGCGTTCAGGCCCCATGACTGGCAAAAAAAAAAAAAAAAAGCAACAGGAGAGCTGGAGTTCATGTGTGATTCCCTGGGTTCCATCCCCAGTACCAGAACTAATTAAAAAACCAAGCATAATAGGTGGTAGGTTTTATTATTTCTTTGGCATGACTGAGTTTTGAACTCAGGACCTCACACTTGGGAGGCTAACATTCCACCACTTGAGCCAGCCCTGTTTGTGTTGTTAAATTGAGAGTCTTACTTTATGCCCAACTAGCCTAGTCTGCAATCTTCCTATTTTATACTTTTCCTGCTTTGCTCAGCCACTGCACCCAGCCATTGGGTGAGATATAGTCTCTTAACCTTTTATGCCTGGGCTCAGCTTCCCAAGTAGCTGGGATTATAGCCACTGAGCCTGGCTATGGTGGTGGATTTGGGGGAGGGATTTTGGCAAGAGCATGAGACTAAAGATGATGTCTTGATGTCTGGCTGGATGCTAGGGAGCCACAGAGAAAGTGGGTGCAGGCGTTGGGGACATGTTTTGAAAACAGGGCCAGGATTGCTGACAGGGAGGAACCAGAGGCGGCCATGGGGTCTCCAGCTACCCATTAGCCACCTGAGGGTTCCACAGCTGGCCATGGCAAGCCAAGATGGAACCGGGTGTTTGGACCCCAGTGTCCTGGACGAACCTGGAAGATGTGATCAGGAGTTCGTGTGGCCTGCCTGGCATAGCTAGGAGAGCAAAGTCTGGCGATGTCAAGGTTGAGCTGTAGCTGGCAGCTTTGGTACTGTCCCCCTCAGTTTCCCATTGTTGTTTTCCAAAATTAAACACAGTTGCTCCAAGAGTGGTGAGTGAATGAGTGAGTTAATAGTTCAGATCCATCCTTCCTTCCTTCCTTCCTTCCTTCCTTCCTTCCTTCCTTCCTTCCTTCCTTCCTTTCTTCCTCCTTCCTTCCTTCCTTCCTTTTCCTTCTTCTCTCTCTCCCTTTCCCCTCCCTTCCTTCCTTTCTGCCTTCCTCTTTTCCTCTCTTCCTTTCTTCCTTTCTTCCTTCCTCCTTTCCCTCCCTCCCTCCCTCCCTCCCTCCCTCCTTCCTTCCTTCCTGTCTCCCTTCTGTAGAGCTGTGGCTCAAGTGGAGACTTTTATCTCCAATTATGTACCAAAAAGCCAGAGATGGATGTGTAGATCCAAAGTGGTAGAGCACTAGCTTTGAGCAAAAGAGCTCAGGAACAAAGCCAGGCACAGTGGTGGCTCACACCTGTAATCCTAGCTTACCCAGGAGGCTGAGATCTGAGGCTCGAGTTTAAAGCCAGCTCAGGCAGAAAAGTCCATGAGACTTTTATCTCCAGTAAAACCAGACTTTTATCTGCAGGAAAGCAGTGCTGTGGCTCAAGTGGTAAGAGTGCTAGCCTTGATCACAAAGAGGCTCAGGAACAACACCCAGGTCCTGAGTTCAAGCCCCAGGACAGGCACAGCAAAACCGCAAACCATTGAGGCCCTGAGTTCAAGTCTTAGTACTGGAAAGCATTGTACATGCGCACATACTCCCACACAAGCATGGGCAGGGCCACGGTGAGTGGGTGGTCAGTCCCGAGCGGGTCCTTCTCCCTGTCCTCTGCAGCTGAACGACGGGCAGTTCACGGTCATCCAGCTGGTGGGCATGCTTCGGGGCATCGCCTCGGGCATGCGCTACCTGGCCGAGATGAGCTATGTCCACCGAGACCTGGCGGCCCGGAACATCCTGGTCAATAGCAACCTGGTCTGCAAGGTGTCTGACTTCGGACTCTCACGGTTCCTGGAGGAGAACTCTTCCGATCCCACCTATACCAGCTCTCTGGTGAGGCTGGGCCCCATGCAAAGCAGGTGGAGGAGGGAAGGAGGCTGAGGGGTGACCAGGAAGCCTGGCCCAGGGAGAAGAAACAGGTTCAGGCTGATTGAAACCCGACTGCCGGCATGTTGGAAAAGAACAAGAGTTGGGGAAGGGAGAGCTCAAGTCCCAGAAAGAAAGGAAACACCAGTTAGGGAGAAAAGGCCAAAGTCTCCAGCGAGGGCTACAGTGTTGGGGTCCATTTCCCCCTCTCCTCTCCACGCAGGGAGGAAAGATCCCTATCCGATGGACAGCCCCCGAGGCCATCGCCTTCCGGAAGTTCACATCCGCCAGTGATGCCTGGAGCTACGGGATTGTGATGTGGGAAGTGATGTCTTTTGGGGAGCGGCCATATTGGGACATGAGCAATCAGGATGTAAGTGTGTCCCGGCCCTGTGTTTCCTGGGGGCTTCTCTTACCTGCAGTACAGGGTGGGGGGGTGGGCACTTCCCAGGTCCTTGGTCTGGTCAAGCATGTCATGAAGAAGGGGGGGATCATGGGCTGGGAATGTGGCTTAGTGGGAGACTGCTTGCCTAGCATGCCCTGGGTTTGATTCCTCAGTACCACATACACACAAAAAGCTGGAAGTGTTGCTGTGGCTCAAGTGGTAGAGTGCTAGCCTTGAGCAGAAGCAGCTCAGGGACAGTGCCCAGGCTCTGAGTTCAAGCCCCAAGACTGGCAAAAAAAAAAAAAAAAGTGTGTGTGTGTGTGTGTGTGTGTGTGTGTGTGTGTGTGTGTGCACGCATGTGTGTGTGCCAGTACTGAGGCCTGAATTCAGGACCTCTGTATTGCTTTTGGCTTTTTCACTCAAAGCTGGTGCACTGCTAACTTGAGCCATACTTCCATTTCCAGCTTTGTGCTGGTGTATTGGACATTAAGAGCCTCATGGACTTTTTGCCTCTGCTTGGCTTCTTGGAACTAGGGTTCTCAGATCTCATCCCCTCTGAGTAGCTAGGATCACAAGTGTGAGCCTCTGGTCCCTTGCTGAAAAGCAGAGGCCATCCTCACATGAGAGCATCTGATACAGCGTAGTTAAGATGGAAGGGGATGGAGGATGGAGGTCACAGGATGTTACATTCCAGACTGTGCCTGGGGTATCTAGCCTTTGGCACAATTAAAAGGACTCCCAAGCCAGGCACAGCAGTTCACACCTGTAATCCTAGCTACTCAGGAGGCAGTGATCTGAGGATTGCAGTTCAAAGCCAGCCTAAGCAGGAGAGTTCTATGAGACTGATCTCTCCAACTAACCAACAGAAGCTGGAAGTGGAGCTGTGGTTGCATTGGCCAAGCACTAGCCTTGAACACAAAAGTTCAGGAACTGCACCCAGGCCCTGAGTTCAAGCCCCAGTATCAGCACAGAAAGGACTCTGTTGAGATCTGTGATTCTGGGGCGCTGTGACTCCCCCATCCCACTATCAGCGTGGGACCCTTTAGCTTCCCATCCCCCCTGCCCCTTCATAGCCTCATCTGGCTCTTGCCTGTGGTTCCAGGTGATCAACGCCATTGAGCAGGACTACCGGCTGCCCCCGCCCCCGGACTGCCCCACCTCCCTCCACCAGCTCATGCTGGACTGCTGGCAGAAAGACCGGAATGCCCGACCACGCTTCCCCCAGGTGGTCAGCGCCCTCGACAAGATGATCCGCAACCCTGCCAGCCTCAAAATCGTGGCCCGGGAGAATGGCGGGTGAGGGTCCCAGAGACCAAGCCCCTTCTCTCCCTCTTCCTTGCTCTCCACCCAGATCTCCTCCCCTCCCCTCCCCGGCTACACGCACATCCACCCCCACTGGCCAAGAAGGCTCCCAGTCTCTCTGGAAGTAGATGAGAGCATATGTCTTTGCAAGGCTGTCGGCCCCCTGACTGGGCCTGGGACTCAGCATCCTTCCCCCACCCCGTAGGGCCTCACACCCCCTCCTGGACCAGCGACAGCCTCACTATTCCGCCTTTGGGTCTGTGGGTGAGTGGCTCCGAGCCATCAAGATGGGAAGATATGAAGAAAGCTTTGTAGCAGCTGGATTCGGCTCCTTTGAGCTTGTCAGCCAGATTTCTGCTGAGTAAGTACAGTAGCAGCAGTGAGAGTGAGAAGGGGTTTTGGGGGTGTCAACCTCCCAGGTCAACTATTACCTCGATGAGGCAGTGTGGCAGGAAGTTACTCTATTACCATACCTAGGAGCAGCCTCCCAAGCAATAACAGATGCTGGAGAGGGGCTGGTGGCTCACACCTGTAATCCTAGGTACTTAGGAAGCTGAGATCTGAGGATCGCAATTTGAGGCCAAATCCAATTCATCTCTAGTTAACAAGCAAAATGTCCAAAGTGGTAGTATGGCCTTGAGCACAAAAAAGCCAGCTGGGCACCGTTGGCTCATGTCTATAATCCTAGCTACTCAGGCTGAGATCTGAGTATCTCGGTTCAAAGCCAGCCAGGGCAGGAAAGTCCATGAGACTCTTATCTCCAAGAAACCACTAGAAAACCGCAAGTGCCGCTGTGGCTCAAGCAGTAGAGCCCAAGGACAGCGCCCAAGCCCAGAGTTCAAGCCCCACGACCGACCAAAAAAACAAAAACAAAAAAAGCCAAGCAAGTGGGTGAAGCCCTGAGTTCAAGCCCTAGTATGCATACAGAAAATAAAAACCGCTGTTGGAGTGAAGAATCCAAGGGCCCCTTCTAGATGGCAGTGCCCACCTCTGCTCCCGGGGCCTTTGCAGCTCGGGTGACCCCCCCTTCTGTGCCCTTTGTCTGTATCTATCTTTGTACATCTATCTACATTCCAGGCCTGGCGTGCTCACATTAACGTGTCCACTCCCGTCCTGTTTTCCCACCCATAAAAGGAGAGGCTGGGCCTGAGTTTTGGAGATCCTTCCTAGCTTCAGTGTTAAGTGGTTTTATGATCCATCACCTCCCATGTAACCGTTCTTTCCTGCCTTTTCCATGTCTCCCAAGGCCTCTGCTTGCCCCAGGTTTGAGTAATAGCATAAGGGATACAAATCTATACGCAGGGGATTCTTGGCAGGGGGACCCGTCCTGTGTGTACTCCAGGGAACTCCCCTTCCTCTCCACCCCATCCCCTGTCTCTTTCCTACTTTTCCTTTCTCCTTCCACATTATTTTGTGCTTTTTCCTTCCTCTATCCCACTTCCTGCTGCCTCGCCTCTTGGGGGGGGGACAGGGGAAGGCAGCTCTCAGAGCTCCACCCCCCCCCATAGGGCCTGCCCATCAAAATCCTCCAGAAACTGCCCAAAGACTACTGACATCATTCCTTCTCTATCCCACTTGCCTTCCTGATTGATTCAATTGTAGTCTGGAACTGAGCAAGATTGGCAAGCCTAGCGAGGTGCTGGTGGCGCTCACATCTATAAGCCTAGCTATTCAGGGAGGCTGAGATCAGGATCCAGGTTCAAAGCCACCCTGGACAGGAATGTTCGTGAGGTTTTTTTTTTTTTTTGGTTGGTTGGTTGTGGGGCTTGAACTCTGGGCCTGGGTGCTGTCCCTGTGCTCTTCAGTGCTCTCCCACTTGAGCCACAGCGCCACTTCTGTTTTTTTGGTGGTTAATTGGAGATAAGAGTCTCAGGGACTTTCCTGCCTGGGCTGGCTTTGAACCAAGATCCTCAGATCTCAGCCTCCTGAGTAGCTAGGATTACAGGCGTGAGCCCCTGGTACCTGGCTTGTTCATGAGATTCTTGTCTCCACTTAACCACTAAATATTAGCTGGAAGTGGAGGTGTGGCTCAAGTGGTAGAGTGCCAGTCTTGAACAAAATAGCTAAGAGACAGTGCTAAGCCCTGAGTTCAGGCTTCAGTACTGACAAAAAATAGAACTGGTGGCTCATGCCTGTAATCCTAACTGCTTAGGAGGCTGAGATCTGAGGATCATGTTCAAAGCCAGCCCCGGCAGGAAAGTCTTGAGACTCCTATCACCAATAAAGCACCAGAAAACTGAAAGTGGCGCTGTGGCTTAAGTGGTAGAGCACTAACCTTGAGCTGAAGAGCTGAGGGATAGTGTCCAGGCCCATAGTTCCAGCCCCACAACCGACCAAAATGAATAAAACTGGCAGCCCCAGGAGCCTATGGCTTACGGAGCACTCTGCTCTTTCGCAGGGACCTGCTCCGAATCGGGGTCACTCTGGCAGGACACCAGAAGAAAATCTTGGCCAGCGTCCAGCACATGAAGTCCCAAGCCAAGCCTGGAGCCCCCAGCGGGCCAGAAGGAGCAGCCCCCCAGTACTGACCTCCCTGAGGACGCCGCAGTCGCTCCTTTTTTCCTGGGGCACAGTCAGGGGCACGCACAGAGACCCTCAGCCCTGCGCCCCGTGGATTGCACTTTGAACCCGTGGGGGTGGGGAGTTGGCAATTGGGGAGAGACAGGATTTGGGGTTTGTGCCATGGAAAGCAGAGAAGCCCATTCCAGGCGGGAACCCCAGACCCAAGAGTGGGCATGAACAGAGGGTGTGAGGAGACGCCCAGTATCTCCCAGCCTCTCCAGAGGGTGCTCCCCCCCCCACACACCTTGATCATGCCCCCCTGCAGACCAAAGAGAGGGTGGCCAGCCTGCCAGCTCACCTGTGGCGCGGTCCCAGGAGGCAGGAGAGGGTGTTGAGGCTCAGTGAGTCATCCATCACTGGGTTTTGATGCCCCTGCCACCCAATGCAATCATTTCCCTTGTAAATGCCCCTCCCCCATCTGCTGCCTTCATATTGAAGGTTCTGAATTTTATATATATATAGATAGATATATATTTGTTTTGTTTTGTTTTTGGTCTTATTTTTCCTTCGCCCCCCTTTTTTTTTTCTCTTTCTGCCGTCCTTGTCCTCATGTCTGTTTGTGTTGGGGGCACCTGTGTTGCTGTCTCCTTCTTTGCCCAAGTGTGGAACAGGGACCCACCCATGTGTCTGTTTCCAGAACAATGCCTGGGTCCCCCAAGGACCCCCCCCTCCCCAAGCTGTGTCCACAAAAGAGTGCAGCAAGAACGGGGGGGTGGGAAGGCAACCTGAGACAGAGCAATGCTTGGAGGGACTCTTAAATTATATTTAAAAAAACTTCTTTTGTTATAAATAAAAGGAAATGGGACGCATCCCAGCTCTGGACTAGATTTCTGCCAAGCAGAGGGTCTGAGTCTGGAGGGTCCAATGGCTCAGGGCCTGTGGGGGGCTGGATGCCCATCCCTGGCCCCCAGGGTGTGTTTGGGGTGGGGGCCTTAGGAGGTGACTCATTCACAGCAGCTGCTAACAGCTCCTGCTGGCCTTTGCCAAGAGCCCCGGGCACCTCCGGGGTGGGGCTGCCCCTCCCCCGTCCTTGGTTCCTTTGCCCTAACGGGTACTGTGAAGGGGACAGGCTTTAAGCTCAAGCCCTGCCCTGCCACCCCATGAAAAGGAGGAAAAAACCTAATTGGGGGTGGGGGGGGGGTTGTGAGTAGGGGTCCAGTCAGATGGAGACAGATGTGGGCCAGATGTTGACATTAGCCTGGTTTCATGGGAGAGCTGGCACTGGCTGTGGGGGAGGGGGCTGGAGGGGCTCCCACGTGAGCATGCCCCATGGCAGGCTGGTTGGAGGACAATTCCCCCATTCAAGAGGCTGCCCAGGCAGGTTCTCAGGCCTCCTGGGGTGGGGAGGGGACCCATGGGAGTGAAGGGTGTCTGCCCCCAACTTCCCATAGACAGGAAGAGGAGGCTGGGATCATTCCCTCCCCCCCCCCTCCCCCCGCCCCACTTTTCCTTCGTATTTTCTGTTTCCTTCTTTCAGGCTGGCTTTCCCTTTCCACTGGGACACCTGCAGGGTCAGGTCTGGACCGACCAGCCTGGGGAAGCCTTTTCTACTTCTGCCTCTCTATTGCCCCCTGTTGCCATCTGGTGGTCATTGCAGTGGACCCCAAGGCGGGGATCTTACCTGGCCCTGAGTTCCTACCTCCATCTAAAGGGACAGGATGCCCGTGTTTTGTGTCCTTGAGCTGAAGTAGAAGGGGCTCACTGCAGTGGAGGGAGAAGGGGGTCTCCCTGGGGGAGGCGCCAGGATAGATAGGCTGACCTTCCAGAGCTGGCTCTGAGAAGATAGAAAGTCAAAGGAGCTGGAAGACAGGCGGAGATGTAGACTAGGCTAGCACCGGACCCAGAGAGTACAACCTTGGGAGCCTGGTGGGGACGTGGCTCCTATCCTAAGTCCTTTCCCCATGCATCTGAGTCTGGCTTTCTCCAGGTGAGGGGCTGGGGGGGGGGCGGTCAGAGGATAAGCAAGAGTGAATGCATTCCAAGGACCCTGTGTCATGCCTGTTCTAGATCCCAACCCTCCCTGCCCTCCTCACCCCCCTCCACTGCTCCCTCCTGCCCAGGCAAGCTCCCCCCCATCCCCCAAGAGAGGTCCTGGCTTAGGCTGAGTGGGTCAGTTGACCTGGGCGGTGATGAGTCTGGTCTCGGTGGCTCAAGCCTGTAATCCAGGCTACTAGGGAGTGGATAGGGATTCATGGTTCAAGGCCAGCCTGGGCATAAAAGTTTCAAAGATTCCATTTCGACCACTGACTGTTAGCTCCCGTGAGCAAGAAGGAAGAACAGGTAGAAGGATTGAAGCCTGAGTGAACCTGGGGAGCAAGCAAGATCCTACCCCCAAAGATCACAGCTAGGCATCAGTGGCTTACGCCTGAAATCCTAGCTATTCAGATGGCTGAGATCAGGGGATTGAAAGTTTGAAACCAGCCAGGGCAGGAAAGTCCATGAGACATCTCCAATGAACCACCAATAAAAGGGGAAGTGGGGCTTGTGCCTCATGCGGTAGAGCACCAGCCTTGAGCAAAAAATTTGAGTGTGTGCCCTGGCCTGAGTTCGAGCCCCAATACTGGCATACAAAAAAAGTAAACAAAACTTGTTCAGAATGACTTTTCATCCCACATCCCCACGGAAAGATGGCAAGTGAAGATTTTTCCTCCTGAATCCCAGAACCAGAGACCTGGGGCTCCATCCCACTGTCCCTCCTTCCTTCCCTCCCCTCTTCCTCTCCTTTGGCTCAATGGGCCACCCACAGATGGCTTCTTCGAAGGGACCCTCCCCTCCCCTCTTGACACCCAGGCTCCTCCTACCCCCTGGAATATTTTACCCAGTACTCAGCCCTGTTTCCTCCTCCCCGTAAATCATAAAGACATTCCCATAGAAAAAGCAATCATTTTATCTCCTAGAGGAGGGGCACTCAGAAGGGCATAGCTTTGAAGGCAGGCTCTGGAACATTCCCTGAGGAGAAAGCCAGAAAGTCTGTTGGCTGGGAACTGCACTCCGTGCCCATGCAAGCCCAGGGCCCCAGGGAGCAGTTCTCACCTCGGTCCACCAGCCAGCCTTCTGGGCTCCGCGGTTTCTCCCTGGTAAAGGAACACACACAGAAGAACACCACCACCTCCGTGTGCTCTAGGCCTCTGCCCACCCCTACCCACCCCACCTCCCTTCCTCAGCCCCCCCATTCGGGACCCACCTCCTCCACGGCTGCCGCCTCATCCTGTGGACACACTCCCTGGTGGCCACTGCCACCAGGACCGGCAGAATGACCACCACAGGCACCAGCATCCCCAGCAGGACGGCCACAAAGCTGGATGGTTCTGGAAACGGGAAGAGAGAGAGGCCTATGAACCAGGAAAGGTAAGATGGGGTCCTTGGCTGCCACATGAGGGACCTCATCCCCTAAACATCTGGCTGTGGCTGGTTCTGTGCCCAGAAGGCTGTCACTCCTAGAGCTGTTCCTCACCCCAGAAAGCTGTTTCCAGTCTCAACTCCAGGGGACATTTGGCCAGCTGGCCGCTAGAGTCCCCGGTATCTTACAGTCAGCATTTCTCAAGGAGCAAGCCAGAAACCTGGTTGGTCAGTCTGCACAAGCTGGCTGCTGGGAAGGCAGATGCTAGCCCCACACTGTGTCTACTGAGCCCCAATCTCTAGCGGGGAGTCCGGGGTGTATGTGTGAAATACACTACCCTCCCCACCGTTGGAGCAGGCTACACATGAGCCCTACACACTGGGGGATGGGGAAGGGGATAACGGGGCACAGAGTGACAGGCAGGGAGGGGAGCCAGGGCTCAGAGAGAACATTCTAGAGTATGGCACAGAAAGTGGCTAATTAAAGACCTCTGTCCTGCTATCCTAAGGACATATTGTGACATGCTCTCCATTGTGTGTGACAATATACATTATAATTATGTTGGATAACATAATTATACAGTAATTGTACAAGGTAGCATTACCTTGTATAATGGAATTATAATACAAATAAGATTTAAATAATTGTAATTATGTGACATAGTTCACCTAATTATATGTAACATGAAGTATATTTAATACTACATGCTACATATAGTATGCACGTATCTGTGATATAGATCTCATACTATATATCCCATTATATTATGATATGTTAATGTGTTGTGCATTATATCCATCACTTAATACTTAACATATGTTAATATCTACTATATGCTATGTCTATTATATATAATATATACTGATACAAATATATATGAGCCGGCCACTGGTGGCTCACGCCTGTAATCCTAGCTACTCAGGAGGCTGAGATCTGAGGATCATGGTTCAAAGCCAACCCGGGCAGAAAAGTCCAATAAATCACTAGAAAACCAGAAGTGGCGCTGTGGCTCAAGTGTTAGAGCGCTCACCTTGAGCTGAAGAGCACAGGGACAGTGCCCAAGCCCAGAGTTGAAGCCCCACGACCGACCAAAACAAAAATGAAAACACAAAATAAATATATATGAATACGTATTATATACTAATATATATTAGATATTGTTTATAATATAGTATATAAATATATGTACTATTATTATATACTATGTATAGTATATATAATATATACTATTACTATATATACTATTACTGTATATGTTATGTACCAACATATAAATATATAATATAAATATAACATAATATACAATAAATGCAAATAGATAATATATAAATATATACTATATACTAATAGATAAATCTATTTATTTTTATTTTATTTATTTATTTTTTGTCAGTTGTGGGGCTTGAACTCTGGGCCTGGGCACTGTCCCTCAGCTCTTTAGCTCAAGGCTAGTGCTCTACCATCTGAGCTACAGCGCAACTTCCGGTTTTTCTGGTGGTTTATTGGAGATAAGAGTTTCATGGACTTTCCTGCCTGGGCTGGCTTTGAACCGTGATCTTCAGATCTCAGCCACCTGAGTAGCTAGGATTACAGGTGTGAGCCACTGGCGCCTAGCTAGATAAATCTATTATATATTATTTTAATCATAATCATGACCTATATATTATATAATTATGCAATATTTTCATTAAAATTATATAACATGCACAATATATATTTAAAAGAATATAAATCTAGGGCTAGGAATGTGCCTTAGAGATATTGTGCTTGCCTCGCATAGGTTTGATTCCTCAGTACCACATACACAGGAAAAGCTGGAAGTGGTGCTGTGGCTCAAGTGGTAGAGTGCTAGCCTTGTGCAAAAGATAGCAGGGACAGAGGCCAGGCCCAGAGTTCAAGCTCCAGGCTGGCCAAAAAAAAATAAAAGAATGTAAATATGTAAGCATATATATATATATATAATTTAAAAATATCATATAATATATACAGAATACATACATTAGTATTCCTGTCTGTGGTCTATCCATCACATGTAATAACTACCTATACGCGGTACTGTCGTGTGTGTGTGTAATATTATACACAGGCTAATCCTGTGGCAGTCGCCAGCGGGGGACAAGTCCGGGACGTGGCTGTCACCTGGCTTTTGGGGGACCAGGATGTCCCAGGGCTCCGTGCAGAGGCGCCCCCCGTAGCCGGGGTCACACTCGCAGGTGAAGCTGGCTCCCTGCTCGCGACAGCGTCCATCGTTGTGGCACGGGTTCCGCAGACACAGGCTTTCTGCAGGGACAGAGGGTGTGAGGGGTCCTGGGACCGCCGCTGACAGGGCAGGGTGGCCTGCAGTCTAGGCTCTCAGAGGGCTAGCCTGGGCTCTGAGAAATTGTGGACCACTGGATTCCCACCTGCTGTGCCTGTAAGAGGGGGATCCAGTGCCAGGGGTGCGGGCCCTCAGAGGACATTAAGGGCTCAAATGTTTAGGGAACAACAATCCTTTATTGTGATTCTGGGCGGGGGCCAGTACTGGGGCTCACACTCTGGGCCTGGGCACTGTGTTTTAGCATTTTCACTCAAGGTTGGTGCTCTACTGCTTGAGCCACGGCTCTATCTATTCTTTGGTGTTTCAGTGGTTCTTATGGGAAAGAAGAGTCTCACAGACTTTCGTTCCCAGGCTGGCTTTAAACAGTGATCCTCAAATTTCAGCCTCCTGAGTTGCTGGAATTATAAGCATGAGCACTAGTCTAGCATCCGGCAAGAGGGTGATCCATGGTTTTGGCACAGAGCAGGGCCAAGGGCTCACCTCGGAAGCAGCCTCGGGTGAAGTTGGCCAATGTGCAGATCTCCCCAGCGCTGCAGCCAAAGGGCTCACACAGCAGGAGCCCCGAGCTGGCACAGGTACAATGCTGGGCACAGTCCTCTGTCACAAAGCTGTCACCCAGCTGCAAGGGGGGGGGGGAAGGGCAGGAAGGACTAGCACTGGCTTCACCCCCAAATTAGCAAGGTCTGCACATGGGCTCCCAGGTCTCCCCCCGGCCTCCCAGACCTGGTAATAGATGCCAGCGGCAGTGCAGCCGCAGTGGGCCTTGGGGAGGCTCCTGGTGCCACTGTAGATGTGGCCGGGGAGGCTGGCACAGCCTTCTAAGCAGGGACCCTCACAGCCCCTGGCGGCCGCCGGGTTGGCACAGGATGCCAGGCAGGGCGTCATGCAGCTCTTGTACACCGTGTTGGCCGGGCACACCATGGCTGAGGGACAGAGGCACAGTCAGGAGCAGGTGGGGTTAAGGCCCAGCACAAACAAGCAACAGGGCCCAAAGCTGGAAGAAGGGGTACAAAGTCACCCCACAGAGCACACTACCTGGGGGAATGGGAGCCAAAACAAGTGACCTGGCTCTGTTGGATTTGTATCTGGGACCTGAGATGGAGTGGAAGGAACTAAATTGATGGGCAGGGGGTAAGGTATTCAGGGGTGGGAATAGAGCTGGGGTAACTGGAGGGAGGGGGTTCCCAGAGCAGGGCAGAGAAGGGATCAGGTTAGAAACATGTGCTACCTTGAAGTTAGTGTGCACTGAAGGATGGGGGAAAGAAACAAGACAGGAAGTCCAAGGGGAGAGTAGTAGTGGGAACAGCACTGAGCCAGGTGGAATGGCAGAGGGATGGGCCGGCTGCCGGGCAGGGGCAGTGTCTTACCACAGCGGGTATGGTTCCGCCAGCTGGCCAGGCTGGCACCTGCCTCCTGACAAATGATGGCATACCCACTGAGGGCCCGGCAGCGCAGCTCCTCTTGTTCTTGGGGGTCCTGACCAGCACACAGATCAAACACACAGTGCCTGGGGATTGGAAGGGGGAGTGGGGAAGAGGAGGCTGTCAGCATGGGGGAGACAAAGAGACCCAGCTGTGCAGAAAAGGGCTTGGTATTCACACAGAAAGACACGAGATAGGGCTGAGGAAGGGTCACCAGGAAATGAGCCACAGAGAAGAGCTGGAGGGGTGCAGAGTGGAATCCTTAGAAAGGTCAGGGTAGAAGCTGGCGCTGGTGGCTCAGGTGTGTCATCCTAGCTACTCAGGTGGCTGAGATCTGAGGATCATGGTTCAAAGCCAGCCCGGGCAGGAAAAGTCTGTGAGACTTATCTCCAATAAAACACCAGAAAACTGGAAGTGGTGTTGTGGTTCAAGTGGTAAGCAAAAAAGCTCAGGGACAGCGAGTAGGCACTGAGTTCAAGCCCCATGACCAACCAAAAAGAAAGAAAGACAGAAGGACAGAAAGAAAGCAAGAAAGCAAGGAAGGAAGGAAGGAAGGAAGGAAGGAAGGAAGGAAGGAAGGAAGGAAGGAAGGAAGGGAGAAAGAGAAAGAAAGAAGGAGAAAAGGAAAGAAAGGAGGGAGAGAGGAAGGGAGGGAAAGGAAGCAAGGCAGGAAGGCAGGAAGGCAAGAAAGAAGGCAGGAAGGCAGGCAGGAAGGAAGGCAGGCAGGAAGGGAGAAAGAGAAAGAGAAAGAAAGAGAAGAAAGAAAAGAGGGAGGGAGGAAGGGAGGGAAAGGAAGCAAGGCAGGAAGGCAGGAAGGAAAGAAGGAAGGAAGGAAGGGAGGGAGGGAGGGAGGAAGGAAGGAAGGAAAGAAGGAAGGAAGGAAGGAAGGAAGGAAGGAAGGAAGGAAGGAAGGAAGGAAGGAAGGTCAGAGTAGGTTATCTGGATGGATTTTGCAAGTCCTGAGTCCTCAACTCACTCCTGGAAGGGTTCTGGATCTATAATCTGGTGACAGGTGGCAAAAGGACCCTGGGGGTCCACCAATACCCGACAGGCCTGGCTAGCATGGATTAAAGTCAGCTGTTCTGGGCTGCACTGTGACTGGATGGCAGGTACGTCTTTCTCCTCTCCCTCTTCTTGCTCTGGTAAGGCCCTGGAGAAGAGAAGCCCATGGCCAGCTGTGTCTATGCAAGTGACACAAGGACATGAAGCAAGGTCTGTGTGTGCCTGGAGCTCTGCTCATGTCCCCCGCACCCCAGCCCTCACCTTGGGAAGCGGAGGAGGGAGTCCTGGGGATTCACGGTCCAGCTGCTGACGAACACGTGGATATTCTGGGTGACCCGGCCGCTGGGTAGCATGAAGTCGTTTGTCTTGTCTCTGTCGTAGTTCCCACACAGGCCACGCACCAGCCCCTGGTAGGTGCTAGGCAGGTTGATCACTGCAGAGGAGCCAGCACACCCCCTGAAGTGAACCCCCATTTCCTGGCAGGACACCCCTCTCCCTCCCCCATAGCTTGGGCTGTTTGTGCTGGGCTTTTCCTTCCCCCACGCAGACAGGTGCCTTCTGTTCTCTACTTTCCCCGTTTGCGAGGTTACCTGCGAGGTTCTTGCCATCGTAGCTAACGATCAGCTGAAATGCAGTGATCAGAAAAAGCCGAGTACCTCGCAGGGTGACCTCCAGCTCCTCAGTGGGCGTGTAGGGGATGCTCATCTTCTGATCGTTGACCTGGAATATAGGGGAGACTGGAAGTGCATGCAGGATGTGCTGGATCAAGCTGATTCTCTGCTGATCCTGCCCATGCTGGCTTTATCTGGACAGTAGGCCTGCCTTATTTGCTGATTTATTGCATGTGGCTTGAACTCAGGGCCTGGCTCTCTCACTTGGCATTCCTGCTCAAGGCTGGTGCTGTATTACTTGAGCCACACCTCTACTTTTGAGTTCCCACTGGTTAGAGAAGAGTCTCTTGGATTTGTCTGCCTGGGCTGGCTGCAAACCTGGATCCTCAGATCTCAGCCTCTTGAGTTGCTAGGATGACAGGTGTGAGCCACTGGTACCCAGCTTGCATGTGGTTTTGACCAACTATAGACAAAATATAACCGCTATCTGTGTATTATACAGCTCAGGCAAAGCAGAGATGCCTGCCAGCCCCGAGTTATTAGTTGTGTTCAAACTGCTTCCTCCTCCAAACTAGAGACCCACAGAGATCAAGGATCTGCACTCTAGGTGCTGGTGGCTCATGCCTGTTATCTTAGCTACTTGAGAGGCTGAGATCTGAGGACTAGGGTTCAAAGCCAGCCAGGGCAGAAAAGTTCATGAGACTCTTCTCTGCAATTAAGCAGCAAAAGTTGGAAGTGGAGGTGTGGCTCAAATGATAGAGCATCAACTTTAAAAAAAAAGCCAGGGGCTGGGAGGTGGCTCAGTGGTAAAGTGCTTGCCTTGCATGCCAGAGGCCCTGGGTTCGATTCCTCAGCACCACATAAGCAAAAAGAAAAAAGCCGGAAGTGGCGCTGTGTCTCAAGTGGTAGAGCACTAGCCTTGAGCTGAAGAGCTGAGGGACAGCGCCCAGGCCCAGAGTTCAGGCCCCACGACCGGACCCAAAAAAAAAAAAAAAAAAAAAAGCCAGCTGGGTGCCGGTGGCTCACACCTGTCATCCTAGCTACTCAGGAGGCTGAGATCTGAGGATCAGGGTTCAAAGCCAGCCCGGGCAGGAAAGTCCGTGAGACTCTTATCTCCAATAAGCCACTAGAAAACCGGAAGTGGCGCTATAGCTCAAGTGGGTAGAGCGCTCGCCTTGAGCTAAAGAGCTGAGGGACAGCGCCCAGGCCCAGAGTTCAAGGCCCACGACCGACAACAACAACAACAAAAGCCAATTGCCTCAATATGGGCAAAATAACTGCAACAATAACAAAATGATTTACTAAACCTCTCACATACCATTCAAAATGTCCCTTTTATCCCTTGTCTTTCCTTTGCCTCTCGCTCAACCCCACTGCCCTTCTCCAGCCCACCCCCTGTGGCCCCCTTTCCATGACGATGCCTGCCTGCCCTGGCCCCACAGGCTCCACGTGACTCCATGGCCCAGCTCTCTTCCCAGACCCTCTTACGAACCACAAGCTCCAGGTTTGTTTGGAGTTGGACTTTATAGCCATAGACCATAATGATCACTTCGTAGAGGGTGGGACTGGAGGACTTCGTCAGCTTGTTCCGCCCCTCCACAAGCAGGCTCTCTAAGCCCTCGGGCAGGCTTTCCACTGTCTTTACGAGGATATAGGTCATTTGGCCTGGGAAATGGTACCCGAAGCGGTCAAACGTGCGGTAATAGGGGTCTCCTAAGATTGTGCACTGATCCGACTCTGCAAAGAAAAGCAAACACTCAGTGCCCAGCGCTGAGCCCTCAGAATCCTTCCCCTGACCACGACTCCCGCTGTGGCCTTCCAGTGAGGCCCACCAGCCTTGGAGCGCTTCAGCTTTCTTTCTCTCCTCCCCTACCCCCATTAAAACCTTAATCTGGATCATATGATCATATGCCAATGGCTCACACCTGTAATCCTAGCTACGCAGGTGGCTGAGAGCTGAGGATCACAGTTCAAAGCTCCAATAAGCCAGCAAAAAGCCAAAAAGTGGAGCTATGGCTCAAGGGGTAGAGTGCCAGCCTTGAGTGAAAAAGCTAAATGACAATGCCCTGAGTTCAAGCCCAGGTACCAACACACACACACACACACACACACACACACACACACACACACACACACACACACACACACACACACACACACACACACACACACACACACAGAGAAAATCCATTCAGCCTCTTCTAGAAAGGATTAGTAACTAGCACATGGTCAGTGGTGGCAAAAACCCCAATGTGAAGCCAAGTTTCCCAGATCTTAGTTTCCCACTCCACCTCCATGTGCTGGGCCCCACAGCTCCCTTACTGTCAGCAGCACAGAAACTGTTGTCGTTTTCCCCATGCTGGCAGTGGGACCCATAGGGGCACTGGAAGGAACGGCACTGAACCCTCCCTTCCGAACACATGCACTTCTGGGTACAGCCACTAGAGATCCAAGTTTTGTTCACCTGCAGAAACCACGGGGGGGGGGGGGGGGGGGGGGAGGGAAGAGGAGAGTGAGGAGGGAAAGGCCAAGACTCTCTCAGCCCTCACCCCTATCTAAAGTGTTTACAGATGCCTCCAGTTGTTTGTGGTTTCACACTAAGTGAGTCAACCACAATCATGAAAAAAAAAAAAGATTAGCCAGGCACCACTGGTGACTCATACCTGTCATCCTTGCTACTAAAGAGGCTGAGATCTGAGGATCATGGCTCAAAGCTAGCCTGGGCAGAAAAGTCCAGGAGACTCTTGTTTCCAATGAAACACCAACAATCCAGAAGTAGAGCTCAAGCAGTAGAGTGTCAGTCTTGAGCAGAGAAAGCTATGGGACAGTAGCTAGGCCCTTAATCAAGTCCCAGTATAAACATACAACTAATGGCATCTGGAGCTGAAGGCAGAGTGCTTGCCTAGCATGCAGAAGATTTTGGGTTTCATGTCTAGCAGAAGGAATTACATAAGTAATTCTTTCTTGTCATTGTTTCCTAAACAATACAGCAGATCAACTATTTGCATGAGATTTACATTGTATTAAACAGAGATAATTTAAACCATATAAGAAAAACTGTAAATGCTTTTTTTGTGTGTGTGTGCCACTCCTGGGAAGTGAACTTAGGGCCTGGACACTATTCTTAAATTTTTTCGCTCAGGGTCTAGGAATGTGGCTTAGTGGTAGAATTCTTGTCTAGCATACACAAAGCCCTGAGTTTAATTCCTCAGCACCACATAAACAGAAAAAGCTGGAAGTGGGGCCGAGAAAGTGGCTCAGTGGTAGAGCGCTTGCCTTGTATGCATGAGGCCCTGGGTTTGATTCCTCAGCACCACATAAGCAGAAAAAAAAAAGCCGGAAGTGGTGCTATGGCTCAAGTGGTAGATTGCTAGCCTTGAGCAAAAGAAGCTCAGGGACAGTGCCCACGCCCTGAGTTCAAGCCCCAGGACTGGCAAAAACAAAAAACAATTTTTTTCCACTTAAGGCTGGCACTGCTACTTGAGCCACAGCTCCACTTCCTGCTTTTTGCTGGTTAACTGAAGATGAAAATCTCATAGACTTTCCTACATGGGCTAGCTTCAAATCAGAATCTTCAGATTTCAGCTTCCTGAATAGTTAGGATTACAGGCAAAAAACCCTGCTTTGAGAATGCAAAAATTTGGGCTGGGAAGGTGGCTCAGTGGTAGAGTGCTTGCCTTGCATGCATGAGGCCCTGGGTTCGATTCCTCAGCACCACATAAGCAAAAAGAAAAAAAGCCGGAAGTGGCGTTGTGGCTCAAGTGGTAGAGCACTAGCCTTGAGCTGAAGAGCTGAGGGACAGCGCCTAGGCCCAGAGTTCAGGCCCCACTACCGGACCCAAAAATAAAAAAATTTTTATGCAACTACTATGAGGCTTGAAAAGTACGGATTTTGGTATCTTTGGAAGGTCCTAGAACTCATTACCCCATAGACACCTAGAGTCTAATATAATTGACTCCAGCCAAAAACAGTTCAGAAAGAATGTGTCTGTGTATCTGTGTGTGTGTGTGTGTGTGTGTGTGTGTGTGTGTCTGTGTCTGTGTGCTGGGGCTTGAACTCAAGGATCTGCCCTCTCACTTGGCTTTTTCACTCAGAGTGGCACTCTATCACTTGAGCCACAGCTCTACTTCTGGCTTTTTGCTGGTTAATTGGAGATAATAGTCTCCTGGACTTTCCTGCCCAGGCTGGCTTTAACATGTGATCCTTAGATCTCAGCCTCCTGAGTAGCTGAGATCACAGACGTGAGCCACCAGTGCCTGGCTGCCCTTTGGATCTTGGTGCCTCAAAAGCAATGTTCTTGCCATTGTACCAGACCCATTTTACAGATGAGGTAACTGAGGCCCCAGAGGTCATCCTACACCCAGGCTCTGCTCTTTCCAATCTACCCAGGAGCAACTGTAGTGCCAAGCAAATCCCAGGCCCAGCAAGGACAGAAGGAAATGCCATGTTTAAAGCCTCCCCTCCCTAATCTGGCCTGTGTGCCCACTCACGGCGATGACCGCCCCCTCGGCAGTTCTGCAGTCACAGGAGCTCTTGGGCACACACTGGCCCTCGTTCAGCACATAGTCTGTCTGGCAGATGCACCCCTCCGTGCAGGTGAGGGGGACTCTGACCCCTGCGCTCTCACAATCCAGCTCCCGGCAGGATGGTGTGCAGGACGGAAGGCAGTTAGAGTATCGGCTGTTAACTGGGCATTCCAGAGCTGTGGGATGGACAAGAGATGGGGGGTGAGTGGAGAGGCAAGAGAAGGCAGGAGCTGTAGAAACCAGACTGCAGGGGGTGGAGGGTGGGAGAGGAGCCATCAATAGGTCTTGGGCTGGGGGCTTCCTTTATTATCCATTAGGCAAGTAATGATTGTGCGTGCGCTGTGTGCCAGGCCAAGGACAGGAGCAATAAGCACGGCTCTCTCTCTGCCTCTGATGGCTCACACCAGGAATCCCAGCTACTAAGGAGGCTGAGATCTGAGGATGGCAGTTTGAAGCCAGCCTAGGCAGGAAAGTCCGAGAGACTCCTTTATCTCCAATTGACCACCAAAAAGCCACAAGTAGAGTTGTGGCTCAGGTAGTAGAGCATCAAAAGGAATTTTGAGAACTCAGCACACCCTGGCTCTGAATTCAAATCCGAGTACTGGCGAGCGAGCATGCGCGCGCGCGCGCACACACACACACACACACACACACACACACACACACACACACACACAAAACAATCAGCCTGCAGGGCGCTGTCCTGACGGGAGGGGCAGTGGTGACAGGGGCCTGGCGGAGGATGAGGGAGCTCTTTGGGAGAGGCAGAATTTGGGGTGCGCACAGGGGACACTCACGGCAGAAGCTGCTATTCCTCCAGATGGGAGTCTTGAGTCCCTCATTGCGGCAGGCAGACTCGAAGCCCTGGAGGGTTTCACAGAGGGTGTGGACGAGGCCACTGGAGCGCCCCCCAAACTCACAGAGCTTGTCTATGCAGCCCAAGATGTAGGGCTTGACATCCACCCTCGTGGCACACTCAGCCCAGGCTGGGGTCTGCAGAGCCTCCTGGCAGGCTTGCCGGGCTTTGCCCAGGTCGGCTGGCCGGCATTTCTCATGCATGGTCTCCTCTACTTCCACTTGCATGAACTCTTCCGGGGCCTGGCAACTGAGACAAGAGGTGTTGGGCATTAGTGTAGGATTGGCCACTGCTCAGTCCACCTACCACCCACAGAGAACTCTGGAGGATCCAGCCCCCCTTGCTTCATGGGGAAGCTGGTCTGAGCTCAGGGGGACCTCCCAAACAGCCTTGATCGCCTCTCAGGTTTCTAAGAAGGGAAGGCTTTCACATTTTTCCAGAAGCTCTGGGATGCAAAGAACTCTCTTACCCCCTACCCTCACACACAGTGGAACGTGTGGTCTTCCCTTCCCAGCTGAGGCTGACTGGCAGGGGTGGGGAGGAGGGAAGTGGACCGTTGGGTTGGGAATGTGGCTTAGTGGTAGAGTGCTTGCCTAGCATGCATGAAGCCCTGGGTTCCTCAGCACCACATAAACAGAAAAGCTGGAAGTGGCACTGTGGCTCAAATGATAGGATGCTAGCCTTGAGCACAGAGAGGCTTAGGGACAGTTCCCAGGCCCTAAGTTCAAACCCCAGGACTGGCAAGTAAGCAAGCAAGCAAGCATGCAAGGGGCGGGGGGGGGGGGGGGGGCGGGAGAGGGCGGGAGAGGGCAGTTGCTAGGTGTCTGTGATTCAGTTCTATAATCCTAGCTACTCAGGAGGCTGAGATTTGAGAATCACGGTTCGAAGCCGCACTGGGCAGGAAAGTCCATGAGATGCTTACTCCCACTAAGTCACCCCAAATCTGGAAGTGGTAGTGTGGCTGAAGTGGTAGAGCTCCAGCCTTGAGCAAAAAAAGCTCAAAGACAGCTCAAGACCCTGAATTCAAGCCCCCAAACTAACACACACACACACACACACACACACACACACACACACACACACACACACATACACACACACACACACACACACACACACACTGGGTCAGTATTCAGGGCTCTTTACGTTGGGTCGATGTCATGGTTTTGCCAGCTGTCCATGAAGTCGTGGGCTTCCTCAGCTAATTCATTATTGGGCATCATTAGGTCGTCATCTTTCTGGCCGTTGAAGTTCCCACACACACCACACAGCTAGGTGGACAGATGGACTTTGAGAGTTAACAGGCCTAATAGCTCCTTCCTTCCTTCCCTTCTTGCTTTTTTTTTTTTGGTGGTCTTAGGGCTTGAACTCAGGGCCTGGGCACTGTCCCTGAGCCTCTTTGTGTTGCTCAAGGCTAATGCTCTACCATTTGATCCACAGCACCACTTCTGGCTTTTTCTGAGTAGTTTATTGGAGATAAGAGTCTCATGGACTTTCCTGCTTGAGCTGGCTTTGAACCACAATCCTCAGATCTCAGCCTCCTGAGTAGCTAGGATTACAGGCATGAGCCACCAGTGCCTGGCCCCTTCTTCTTTCCTTCCCTTCTTACTTCTTTCCTTCCTCCCTTCATCGTTCCTTCCTTTTCCCCTCCCATCCCCCTCTCCTTCCTTCTCTCTCTCCTTCCTTCCTTTCTCCCTTCCTTCTCTCTCTCCCTCTTTCTCCCTCCTTCCCTCCTCTTCTCTCTCTCAGCAAAGCCTCACTAAGTAACCCAAACTGGCCTCAAACTCAGGATCCTTTTGCCCCAACCTCTTGAGAACTGGGATTACAGGCGTGAAGCACCACAGCCAGCTCTAAGAGCATTTTTTGTTGGTGTGTCCTTGTGACAGCATACTCAGCAGCCCCACTTCCTGCAGAGACCACTTGGGCGTGGTGGGATGGGGCGGAGCCAGGCATTTCTTGCCTTTTTGTGATAGGCTGCTGGGACTTTGATCTCCAAGAAATGATCGCCACCATATTTGACCTGTACTCCATTCTTAATGTTGACCAGGGTGTAGTCTCCGCTGGAAGTGATTTTGACCCCGTGGATCTTGGAGTTGGTAGGAAGGGTGACTGGCTCATTATTGACCTGAAGAGGAGAGCAGGGCAGTAAGCAGGAGGAAGGCTCTGGGTTCTCTCCCCGTAGGGCCACGCGTGGGGGGCTCACCATCACTGAGTGTCCCTTTTGCAAGGTGATTTGGTAGCTGAAGACAGTTATGTAGACACGGAAGATGTGGAAGGGCTTGCCTTCTTGACTCTCACTCTTGGCACTGATCTCAAAGAATGGCAACTTCGAGCTGGGGTCGCATACTTTCACCAGGATATGTGTGCACGTTCCAAATATGGGCTGACCAACGCCATCAAAGCTCACATACCTCACATCCTCAGAGACGTGACACACTCCTGTGCCTAGGAGAAGAGACAGGTGCCTGGGGGATCGTCTTACTAGCTCTGGCAAGAATAGGGTCCCTAGGGGAAAACGGGCTTGGGTTCTCTCTGCTTTAAAGCAGGGTGTGGTGGTTTATGCCTGTAATCCCAGCACTCAAGAGGCAGAGAGGCAGGAAGATCTTAAGTTTGTGGCCAGAGATATCCAAGAGGTAAGGAGACCCCGGACCAGGAAAAGAATCAACCTCCCAGGGTCTGCTGCAGGAAGGCCTGGGAGTGGATGAGGTACAATTTGGCTAGCACAGCATTTATAATGTCACATGGGGGTTTCTGACCAATGCGGGAAGAGGGATGGACAATGGGGCTCTGCTATTCCACCTTCAGAATCCAGGCAGTGAGGACTCCATCCCTTAAATTAGGGGTGAATTATATTTCAAAGGTGATTGGCTCATGGGCGTTCTACCTTTATCTATGGTTCACAGATGAATAGATTAATGGACTAATGGATTACCCAGGGATGAATAACCAGTTATTAAGGGACTGGGCCTGTAACAAAAAAAGCCAGTTTGGGCATCTTTATAACCCACCCAGTGATGTCAGAGACCAGCAAGAAGGCCCTTGTCACATGCAGCCTCTCCTCCTAGAACCTCCCAGCCTCATGAACTATAAGAAATACATTTCCAAGCCTGGCATTGGTGGCTCACGCCTATAATCTTAGCTACTCAGGAGGCTGAGATCTGAGGATCACAGTTTGAAGCCAGCGTAGACAGGAAGGTCCACGGGATTCTTAGTTCCAATTAACTAGCAAAAAGCTGGAAGTAGAGATAGGCTCAAGTGGTAGAGTGCCAGCATTAAGCAAAAAATAAAAAAGCTAAGAGACAGGCCCTGAATTCAAGCCCCAGGAACAGCACAAAAATAAATAAGTGTATACACACATACACACACACACACACACTTTCCTGGATTGGGGATATAGCTTAATAGCACATTGGCTTGCCTAGCATGCTTGATACCCTGGGGTCTATGCTCAGATCCATTGGAGGATGTAGGGAACAAATACATTTCCAGAAGGGATATTGCTCAAGTAGTACAGGGCTTGCTTTATAAGTCATCTAGCCTCAGGCATTCTAATATAGCAGTCAAAGATAACTACAAGAGTGGAAAAACTCCACAATGCCCTCCCTGGCAGCAGGAGGCCCTCTATCCTGCCAAAACTTCTTTGGTATTACCAGTGTGCCAACCTGGACCTGCGGGCTACAGAGGAATGTGAGAGGCAGAGGCTGGGAGGCCTTGGGAGGATTGTTCTTGGTAGCTGTGGGGCAGCCCTCCTACCTATGGTCTGGCAGTGGAACAGGCCATCCTGAGAGGAGCACATCTGGCTGGCCTCGCAGGCTGCAGGACCGCAAGTGATGTTGTTGCTGATCCAGCAGTTGCAGAGAACACGGCAGGTCTTCTCTGGGTACCAGCTCTCCCCCACCTGCAGACCCAGGACCAGCAGAACTCAACCAATAGGAACTCAGAAGCTGGAGATGGGTGAAGCCCTCCCCTGGGCACAGGGATCAGCAGAGCCAATAGGAACTCAGAAGCTAGAGATGAGGGGGCTTCCCTTCCCAGCATCAGCCTCTTAAATGTGTCAGGCCTTGGTCCTCACCCCATCTTGGCCAACCCTGGCCTTCCATAGCCAGTCCTACCTTTCTCAGTCTCTGAGCCCTCCTTGAGCTCTCCAGATCCCCTGTCACTTGTGAGCAGGAAGTTGCAGGACACAGCCTGCAGGGGGTCAGGGCACTCACCATATGGTAGAAGCCCTCCGGGTCCCTGCAGCCACAGTAGCTGGGAGGTACACAGGAATGTCCGCTCAGGATGTGTCCTCTCTGGCATTCGCAGCCCTCTACACAGGGTAGCACAGGGCAGTATGTTGGGGAGTTCAGGGAGAGGCAGGCATCTGGGCAGGGGTTGGCACAGGGCTTGTAGCTGCTGTTTGGTAGACACTTCAGAGCTGAGGAGGACATAGGTGGAAGGAAGACAGTTAGGAGGAGAGTTCTTGAGGGCCACTTCGGACAGATTACCATGTGTCCACACAAGGGATTCTAGATTTTTCCCAGGGCTGGTCTCAGACCTTGATCTTCCACCTCTGCCTTCTAAGTTGATGTGATTACAGGCTGTATCAACACTATCAGCCCTACAGTGGATGAATATTCAGTCTTAAAAAGGAAAGCTGTCAGCTGGTACAGTGGCTCAAACCTATAATCCTAGCTACTTGGGAGACAGAGATCAAGCCAGGCTGGAATTAAAAAAGAAAGAAAGAAAGAAAAAGGAAAAGTCCTGAGACTCCATACCCACCCATGGCTGGGTTTGGTGCTGTGCGCCTGTCATCCCAGTGATAAAGAAAAACACAAATAGAAAGATCACAGTCCAGGCTGGATGAAGTGAGAACTTCTCTGGAAAATAACTAACATAGATGAGCTGGACAAGCTCATGCTTGTAATCCCAGCTACCCAGGAGGCTGAGGTCTAACGATTATGGTTTGAAGCCAGCCAGGGTAGGGAAGTCCACGAGACCTTTATCTCTAATGAACCATCAGAAAACCAGAAGTGGCACTGTGGCTCAAAGTGGTAGAGTGCTAGCCTTGAGCAAAAGTGCTCAGGGACAGTACCCAGTCCCTGAGTTCAAGACCCCCACCCCCCACCAACCACTATAACATTCAGATGGCATTTTATTTTGGGGGGTGGTTGAACTCAGGGCTTTGTGTTTGCTAGGGAGATGCTCTACCACTTGAGCCATACTCCCAGTTCCCTTTGTAACTTGGATTATTTCAAAGCAGTCTCTCATATTACGCTGGCTATCCCTGGCTGTGATCCTCCTATTTGTGTTTCCCTTTGTTGATGTGCACACCACCACACCCTGCCATTTGTTGAGGTGAAGTTTCTTAAACTTTTTTTTTCCTTTTTTTTTTTCTGCTGCTCCTCTTGAAACTTTATACCCTGGCTAGCCTCAAACCTCTAGCTCCCAATCTCTCCCTCTTAAGTAACTGGCACTATAGTCTTAAACCACCACACTTGGCTTAAAATGGTAATTTTTATATTATGTACATATTACCATAATTGCAAAAATAAACAATTTCTGGGAAAGAGGGAGAGAGAACAGTGCTGACCCAGGTAAAAGAAGCAGGAGCTCAATAAAGGTTGAAGGATTTTGTTGTTGTTTTGGTTTGGTTTGGTTTTGGTCATGGGGCTTGAACTCAGGGCCTGGGTGCTGTCCTTGAGTTCTTTTGCTCCAGGCTAGCTTTCTACCACTTTGAGCCACTGCTCTACTTCTGGTTTTCTGATGGCTCATTGGAGATAAGACTCTCATCTCAGACTTTTCTGCCTGGGCTGGCTTCAAAACACAACCCTCAGATTTCAGCCTCCTGAGGAGCTAGGGTTATAGGTGTGACTACTGGTGCCCAACAAAGATGAAGTTTTTTTGTTTTGTTTTGTTTTTTGGTCGGTCGTGGGGCTTGAACTCTGGGCCTGGGCACTCTCCCTCAGCTCTTCAGCTGTACCACTTGAGCTACAGTGCCAATTCTGGTTTTCTGGTCGTTTATTGGAGGTCAGAGTCTCACAGTCTTTCCTGCCCAGGGTGGCTTTGAACTTTGATCCTCAGATCTCAGCCTCCTGAGTAGCTAGAGTTACAGACATGAGCCACTATTACCCGGCAAGGATGAAGTTTTTGTCTGCTTGTTTTGTTGGTCATGGGGCTTGAACTCAGGGCATGGGCTTTATCCCTGAGCCTCTCTGTGCTCAAAGCTAGCATTCTGTCACTTGAGCCACAGTGCCACTTCCAGCTTTTGTCTGCTTATGTGGTACTGAGGAATGGTACCCAGGGCTATATGCATGCTAGGCAAGCACTCTACCACTCAGCCACATACCTAGCCCCGGGTTGAAGTTGTTGATGGGCACAAAGAAAAAAAGCTGAGCGGGGCTGGAGGGAGCAGGGCGGGGAGGGAAGACAGTTCCGTGTGAACGTGCGGGTGCAGGTCAAGTCACTCACGGCAGAAGGTGTTGTTGCGCCAGGCCACCGCCTGGCCAGCCTGGGCGCACAGGCTGGCGTAGGCCTGCAGGGAGTGGCACAGAGACAGGGCATTGCCCTTGCTTTCACACTGGCTGTGCACACAACTGGCAAAGCTTGGCTGAGGAGACACCATCAGGTGACAGCTGGAGAAAGGCCCTGGGGGTGAGACAGGTGGAGGAGACAAGCGTGAGCCCAGGAAGTGAGCTGCGGCCTCCCAACCCCTGTGCACGCGGCCCATGTGAGTGACTGAGTGTGTGTGTGTGTGTGTGCGCGTGCACCAGGGCTTGAACTCAGGACCTTGAACTCATGCTTGGCTTTTTTTGCTCAAGGCTAGTGTTCTACCACTTGAGCCATAGCTCCACTCCTGGCTTTTTGGAGATTCATTGGAGACAGTCTCATGGACCTTCCTGCCTGGCTTGGCTTTGAACCATGATCCTCAGATCTCAACCTCCTGAGTAGCTGGGATGACAGGCGTGAGCCCTTGGCACCTTTGTGTTCTGGTGTGCTGTCTGCAGGGGAGGACAGGGCCCGCAGGGATGCGTCTCACCCATGGGGTTTAGGAGGATGCCACAGTTCTTATTCCAGATGGTGGAAGTGCTGGTGTCTTGGCAGTTGACGGGGCTGCTACCTGTCACAAAGCAGCTGTGGAGGAAGAGAAGGAAGGATGGAAACTCAGGGCAGGAGACATGTCCCCCCACTGAAGAAGTGTGGAGAGCCAACCAGGGAGCAAGGGAAGAAAAGGAAATGGTGCTACAATCCTCAGATCTCTCTACCTCCTGAGTAGAAAGTAGAAAGGCTAGCAGATGCAGCCAGAAGGAATAAGGCTAGCTATCAGGAGGAACTTCCCAAGGTGGGCTTGCCAAAGACATCGAGACAACTTTTCAAAAACTCCCATCTTGGGGCTGGGAAGGTGGCTCAGTGGTAGAGCACTTGCCTTGCATGCATGAGACCCTGGGTTCGATTCCTCAGCACCACATAAGCAAAAAGAAAAAAAGCCGGAAGTGATGCTGTGGCTCAAGTGGCAGAGCGCTAGCCTTGAGCTGTGCTATGCCCAGAGTTCAGGCCCCACGACTGGACCCCCCCCCCCAAAAAAAAAAAATTTCCATCTTAGCTGGGAGCCGGTGGCTCACGCCTATAATCCTAGCTAATCAGGAGGCTGAGATCTGAGGATTGTGTTCAAAGCCAGCCCAGGCGGGAAAGTCCATGAGACTCCTATCTTCAATAAACCACCAGAAAACTGGAAGTGGTGCTGTGGCTCAAGTGGTAGAGCACTAGCCTTGAGCTGAAGAGCTGAGTGACAGCACCCAGGCCCAGAGTTCAAGCCCCGCAGCTGACAAAAAAGAAAGAAGGAAGGAAGCAAGGAAGGAAGGAAGGAAAGAAAGAAAGAACGAATTCCCATCTTAGAGAGAATGAAGAAGAGATTTGGCGGGTTTTATGCTATTTTTGAACAGAGGGATACTTGCAGGCTGTTCCCTGAAGCATTTTTCCACCCTATTCCCAGCTTACCCGGGGTCAGAGGACTCCGCTATTCTCCAACTAGCCCCTAGCTGAGAGGAGTTGCTGGCTGGCCTTTTGTCAGGCTTTAGGTTGTCATCCAAGCTATTGTTGTTGTAGTTTCCTACGGGAGTGGGGAAATGACAAGAGATGTAAGAGAGGCTGGGGACAGACGCCAATTGGGGGGCCACCTCTGCCCCATTAGACCAGGTCTGTTCCCATGATCCCCCCTTCCTTCTCCTCTGCCCTCTCTCACTCTATGCTTCATGTCCAGTATATATCCTCAATCCCAGTCATCAGCAGAGAAATAAGTCCTTGGGGCTCCTCATGGAGCCAGGAGGGCCCCCCAGGGTGCCCTGGGAGCTCACCGCACATCCCACACAGCCGGCCTGCATAGGAGGAGGGCACGGACACCATAACCAGGTGGTTCCCGTCGTAGCGGACCTGCAGCCCGAAGTCAGTGTAGAACAGGATGAAGGAGCCGCTGAACCGAATGGTCACCCGGTCCTGAAAGAGCCACACAGGCAGGGCCACCTGGCGGCCCTCCACCTGCATAGGAAGTTGGATAGTCAGGAACTGGGCATGGGGCGACATCTGGAGAGGGACCACGGGTGGCTTGCCAGGAGGAGGAGAGGTTGGAAGGATGGAGGCTGGTGGCTCATGCCTGTCATCCTAGCTATTCAGGGGGCTGAGAACTGAGGACCTTGGTTCAAAGCCAGAGTGGGCTGGAAGGTCCTTGAGATGCTTATCTCCAATGAACCACCAAAAAGCTGGACCCAGAGCTCTGGCTCAAGTGGTAGAGTACTAGCCCCCCGCTTTTTTTTTGTAGGTCGTGGGGCTTGAACTCTGGGCCTGGGTGTTGTCCCTCTGCTCTTCAGTTCAAGGCAAGCACTCTACCGGTGACTTGCAGCCCTAGTTTTGAGCACAAAAAACTCGGACAAAGCTGGGGCACTGGTGGCTCACACCTGTAATCCTAGCTACTCAGGAGGCTGAGATCTGAGAATCAGTGGTTCAAAGCCAGCCTAGGCAGGAAAGTCCGTGAGGCTCTTATCTCCAATAAACCACTTAGAAAACTGGAAGTGGTGCAGTGGCTCAAAGTGGTAGAGTGCTTGCCTTGAGCTGAAGAGCTGAGAGACAGCACCCAGGCTCAGACTTCAAGCCCCAAAACCAACCAAAAAAAAAAAATAACCTCAGGGACAGTGCCAAAGCCTGAGTTCAAGCCCTAGGGAAAGAAAGAAAGAAAGAAAGAAAGAAAGAAAGAAAGAAAGAAAGAAAGAAAGAAAGAAAGAAAGAAAGAAAGAAAGAAAGAAAGAAAGGAAGGAAGGAAGGAAGGAAGGAAGGAAGGAAGGAGAGAAAGAAAGAAGGAAAGGAAGGAAGGAAGGAAGGAAGGGAGGGAGGAAGGGAGGGAGGGAGGGAGGGAGGAAGGAAGGAAGGAAGGAAGGAAGGAAGGAAGGAAAGGAAGGAAGGAAAGGAAGGGAGGAAGGAAGGAAGGAAAGGAAGGAAGGAAGGAAAGGAAGGAAGGAAGGAAGGAAGGAAGGAGAGAGAATGAAAGAAAGAAAGAGAGAGAGGAGGGAAGGAAAGAGGGATAAAGAAGGAAAATAAGGAAGGAAGGAGGAAAAAATAAGGAAGGAAGGAAAGAAGGAAGGAAGGAAGGGAGGGAGGGAGGGAGGGAGGGAGGGAGGGAGGGAGGGAGGAAGGAAGGAAGGAAGGAAGGAAGGAAGGAAGGAAGGAAGGAGTGGAGGGAGGGAGGGAAGGAGGCAGGTGCCTGGCAGGTAGGCAGGCAGGCTGGTTGGTGTGGGGTCTGAGAGGTGGAGGCGCACACACCGTGACCCTGTAGCCTTTGAACAGTGAGATCCTGAGGTCGAAGACCACCAAGTGCACAGCTTTGATGTATGATGCCTCTAGGCTCCCGCCACGGTTCTCATTGGAGGCGCTCACCACAAAGTAGTTGTCCTGGAAGCCTGGCCAGCAGGTCTTGGACAGGACATAATTACAGGTGCCTGTGAAGTGGTGAAGGGCTCCATCGAAGGTCAGGTAATGAGGGTCACCAGAGACAAGGCAGATGCCTGCACCTGGGGAGGGGAAGGGGAAGACAGGTGTCCAAGTCTCCTTGCCCTGGCAGCCCCATGCAATCTTGGTAGGCTTCTATTGGGCTGGTACCCATGGTCCATCCTTGAACTTGGTGTTCTAGGAAGTGTGTCTGGCTCACAGATATAGAGGAAGGGGATGGGTCTCCCTGACTCATTCTCAGAGCCCTTGATGATGCTTCTCCTGCCCAGGTAATTATCTAACAGCCTCTAGCCTTTAGATATGGAATGTTCCACCAAAGGTCCAGAGCCTTCATCCCAGTGTGGTACTATTGGGAGGTGGTGGAAATATTAAGGGACGGGATTTAATGCGAGGTCTTTAGGTCCCTGGGGTGTGGCCATAACATTCCCCAGCCATAATGTACAGCTTTCCTACAGGACCAGGACAACTCCATGGACTGCAAACTCCAAAGCTAGGAGCTAAAATTAACCTTTCCTAGCCAGGCCGTGGCTATCTGTAATCCCAGCTACCTGGGAGGTGGACATAAAGCAGGGGGTGGAATCAAGGTTCACAAGGCCAGGTACAGAAGTTCCCTAGAAAAGGTGGGTCAGTGGTAGAACACTTGCCTTGAATGCATGTGGCCCTGGTTCAATTCCTCAGCACCACATAAAGAGAAAAAGCCTGAAGTGGCGCTGTAGCTCAAGTGGTAGAGCACCTGCCTTGACCTGAAGAGCTAAGGGACAGCACCCAGGCTCAGAGTTTAAGCCCCATGACCGCCAAAAAAAAAAAAAAAAGTTCCCCAGACTCCATGTCTTTCAATGACTGGGTGTAGTGGTGAGTGCCTGTTATCTTCAGCCACCCGGGCCTGAAGGAGGAAGCCCAAGTAGGAGGATCACTAGCTTAGGCCAGCCCTGGCAGAAAGTGAGACTCTCCTTTGAAAATACCAATGGAAAAGGGGGCTAGGAGCATGGCTCAAGTGGTAGAGCGCCTACCTGAGCTCAATTTCCCTGAAATAAAAGAAACTAAAGTGAATAATAGAATGCCCCTCCCCTTTTCTTTAAGTTGCTCTATCTCAAGTAACTGCTGACTAATGGTGGCTGGGCCTTGGCTCTCTGGGGAAGCTACATCTGGCCTTCCTCTGCTCCCGCCCTGTCTGACTGCTCACTTAAGGCATGGCAGCCGTAGCTGCCGTCTTTCCATCTGCAGGTCTCCTGGGCAGTACAATTCCAGGCATGGCAGCGAATTTTGTGGTTGCTGCCACATACGCAGATCTCTTTGCAGTTCGGCTTGTACCACACATCCCCAAGCTGGTGGAAGGAAGAGAGAACAGTGGGTCCCAGGTTTGCTCCCCAAATCCCACTGCAATTCCCATGGCTGGCTGACTCAGAGGACTACCTGAAGCTCCATGCTTTGCTGCAGGGAAGAAAAAAAAAAAACTGGCACTGAGCTGGGCATAGTAGTGCATGCCTGTGATCCCAGTGCTTGGGAGGCTGAGGTGCAAGGTTGCAAGTTCCAGACCAGCTTAGACTATAAAGAGAGACACTGCCTCAAAAATCTGAGAGAGAGAGAGAGAGAGAGAGAGAGAGAGAGAGAGAGAGAGAGAGAGAGAAGCAGGGAAGGAAGGAAGGAAGGAAGACAGGCAGGTAGGCTCCCACAGAGACAGGGTCCTCAACCTTAGGGTGCTTGCTTAGCATGCGCAAGGTCCTAGCTCCAGCAAATATCAAGTATTCAGGGCCCAGCATGGGAGGGAGGCTTCAGAAATGGAAGGCTACCTGTGTGTCTCAGTCCTTTGTTGGCCCTAGGGCCATTCTCAAACCTCAAGTGAGGACTAGACAAAGAAGGCAGCAAGAGGCATCAGATTGGGGATCAGGCCTGTAATCCTAGCTACTCAGAAAGCTGGAAGCGGAGGATTGAAGTTCAAAGCTGGGACAGGGTAGTACTCCATGGGAGTCTAACCACCAGAAAGCCAGAGGGCAGGGGAGAGGGGAGGAAAGAAGGAGAAAGGAGGGGAGAGAAATCAAACTACTTTCCCTAATGGAAACTCTAAATTCCCTGGTTTTCCCTGGTCTCTTATCTCCTGTCTCTTGCTCTGGGCTCTGTGGAAGGACCTAGAAGGGAGTCAATCCATTCTGGTAACAGGAAGGGCCGAAAAGGCTCATCCCAACTGCTCACCTTCAAGTACCGCCCTGATGGGGTGAGGCACCCGCACTGGTTCCGGTGGACACACTGGGAGCCGCTGAGGATGAAGCCGGGGTTGCACTCGCAGGCCTCCACACACGGGTATGGGCAGGGCTTCTGCGTTAACTTTGCCTGGCAGGTCTCTGGGCATGGCTTGGCACACAGGGAGTACCTGCTATTGGGGGGGCAGGCCAGGGCTGTAGAGGGAGAAGTGTGGGTAAGAAGGAGACAGCCGAGACAAGGGGAAGACTAGAGGAATGGCTCAAGTAGGAGTGGGACTGCTTAGCAAGCAAGAGGCCTTGAGTTCAAAGCTTAGTCCCACCAAAACCTACGCATGAACAACAAAAAAGAATTAGGGTAGAAAAGGGAACCACCTTTGTCCACAAGGCTCCAGGCCTTGTGAGACTCTGGCTAGTCTTGAGAAGCTTTGAGAAGCTGGACAGAAGACTAGCCGACCCCAGTGCCCTGCAGGGCACAGCTTCTAGAAGCTAAGCCAGCTTCCTGTGCCAAGAAACTGCCCAGATGTCTCCACAGAAGCAGACTGAGCCACACAAGAAGAGATTCACCCATGCCACTGTGGATATACCCCACATATACCTGTGATGAAGCAGGAAGTGGGGGGCTAGGCAAGCAGGAGTGAGCTCATGCCTGTCATCCCAGCTACTCAGGAGGCTGAGACTTGGGGATCATAGTTCAAAGCCAGCCCAGGCAGGAAAAGTCCATGAGACTCTTACCTCGAATTAACCACCAAAAAGCCCAAAGTGGTGCTGTGGCTCAAATGGAAGAGTGTCACCAGTCTTGAGTGAAAAAAAGTGCCCAGACCCTGAGTTCAAGTCCCCAAACTGACACACACATAACCCCAAAAATTCCTACGGTAGCTGAGTGTTCTCTCTTTCTCCCTCCCAGTGTCTCTGAGTTTCCCTCTGTAGTTCAGGCTGGCCTCAAACCAACTCATGATCCCCCCTGGTTCATCCTCTCTACTGATGCCCCCAACTCTAGGCTCTTTTGGGGGGGTACTGGGAGGACTGAACTCAAAGCCTTGTGTTTGCTAGACAGGTGCTCTACACCTTGAGCCATGCCCCCAGCCCTTCTTGCTTTTGTTATTTTTCAGATAGTGTTCTATGCATTCAGATAGCGTTCTATGGCCTTGGACCATGGATCCTCCTACTTATGGTTCCTGAGAAAATGAGATTACAGCTGTACCATCATGCCTGGCTTCTCTGTTGAGATAAGGGATTCAGAAATATTTGTGTAACATATATACATATATACACATATATAATATATAACACACATCTATATACATATACAATATATGAGCATATGTCTCCATAAATACATGCATATACATATACATAGATATATACGTGTATATATTTGATATTTTTGCCCCCAACCTTGATTTTCCTATCTCTACCTTCCAGGTAGCTTGGATTACAGGTATGAATCGCCACTCCTGCCCCTTTGGAGTTTTCACAGGACTATGATTTTCTTTTTTCTTGCCATGCTAGGAATGACGCTCTACTTCATGGTGGGCAAGGGTCCCACTACGGGGCTGGGTGCTCAGCCCTTAAAATGACTGTGATTGGTCTTTTTGCCTCTGCCCGTGTCCCTGTCCTGGTGTGGACCTGTGAGGTTCAACCAGGTTGCACCCCAAGTCTGTGGGCACCCAGGCTCCACCCTGCCTGTGGGCACAACTCACGGCAGAAGCTGGATTCCCTCCAGGGCCGGACGGGCAGGCCGGCGCTCTGGCAGATGGCCGTCAACGTGGATATGTGAGCGCAGAGCATGGTTTGGACTCCTTGGAAACTACACATGTCTGACACACAGTTGTCAAAGAAGGAAGTAGCCTTCAGACGGTTCAGGCATGTCCTGGGGAGGGGGTGGGGGGGTTAGAGGGTCGGAGTGGCCAAACCTCTGGGCACCCAGCAACCCCCTGCGCCCTTGCCCTCTCCACCTCCATACTCAAAGATTCCATCGGGCAGGGTGAGCTGGCCACAGAAAGCCGGTCCTGATAGGGTGGTGAGCACCTCAGGGGCACAAACGGCGACAGTTTCATTTCTCTTCTCGCACCTAGGAGAGACCTAGCTCAAGCACTAATGGCCATGTTTTGCTTCCAGGTGAGCAGTTAGAAAGACTAAGAAAAGTTGGAGTCTCCAGAGAGGAAGAGGGAAAAGGGAAAGTGGAGTCAGTCCTTTTTTTTTTAAGGCAGCAGTACTGGTTCTTGAACTCAGGGCCTGAGTGCTGTTCCTTAGCTTTTTCTACTCAAGGCTGACAACTCTACAACCTGAACCACAGCTCCGCTTCTGAGTTTTTGCTGGTTAACTGGAGATAAGAGTATCATAGACTTGCCTGCCCAGGTCTCATTTGGTCCTTCTGTCTTAGCCTCCTGAGTGCTGGGATTACAGATGTGCACCACCATGCCTGGCTCTAGTTGGTCCCCAGTTTGCGGGGGGGGGGGGGGGTCCCTCACTCACTCCTTGCTTTCGTTGTGGGCCACCTGCCAGCTGTGGCCCAGCTCCTCTGCATCCTGGGCCTGGCTGCCATCGGGCTTCAGGTAGTCATTACCGCTTTCTCCATCGTAGTTTCCACATAAACCACAGAGGTGGCCTGCATGGGTACTATGGGGCAGGACAGTGGGGAGAAGCGGGGACCACAGGCAAGGGGTCAGACAGCTGTGGGGCCTACAAGTAGCCACAAGTGGTGCTTGTGGACCAGTCTTTCTAGCATCTTCCCAAGGCTGGGTGTATACTCCCTGCTGTTACCCCATTTCCTCCTGTCTCCCTGTAAACAGGGAGGTTTTGAAATGGCAATGTTTTTTTACCTGGTCACTGTCACAAACAGCTGCTGGTCGCCGTCCCACCGCACAGTCAAACCAAATGGCGTCTGAAGTACGATGAACCGACCGCTCAGACTCATGTAGGTGTCATTAGAAAGCATTACTGGGAGGTCCACATGCTCATCCCCAACCTGGCAGAGGAAGGAGACAAGAGACTGACCTTGGGGGGGGGAGGGGGAGGATCACAGAGGACCCTAAGACTCCCCTCCCACCCCCATGGCTGGAAGGTGTGACCTGTGTGGCCTTCAGAGCTTTGTCATCTTTTTTTAGTGTCTGCCAGTCCTGGGCTTGAACTCAAGGGCCTGGACCCTATTCCTGAGCTTTTGTGCTCAAGGCTGGTGCTCTACCACTTAAGCCACAGCTCTACTTCTAGATTTTTGGTGGTTTATTGGAGAGAAGAGTCTAACAGACTTTCCTGTCCAGGCTGGCTTCAAACAGCGATCCTCAGATTTCAGCCACTGGAATACTAGGCTTAAAGGTGTGATCTACAGATGTTTAGCCATCATTGTTAATTGAAAGCTGTCCCTGGTGGCACTGGCCAGAAGTGAGCCATACACAGTCAGGCCTAGTGGTCATAGCAGATAGGTGGGCCCGGGGCTCACCAGTATGCGTCTGCCCTTGAGCAGGGTAATGGAGGTCGCTGATAAGGCCACGTAGACTTTACTCAGGCAAGACACACCTTCCAAGGCTCGCTTCTCATTCTCAGCTGTCACCCTGAAGAATGGTTCTGAGTGGGGGGAGAGAGGGAAGAACAGAGCCCTGGGGTTCATTTAACCAGGATTTAGGAGCTGAGAGCTATATACACAGTTCCACAGCTCCATTAGTTGGGTTTTGTCGCCCTCTACTTCACTCAGGGGACATGTCCTTCTTCTCAAGTCCAGATCTAAACTTATTTACCTCCATCCACCTGACATTCCTACCACAGGTCATTTACACATGCTGGGCTCCTGTTTGGAGCGGTCTGGATGCTGTCCCTCAGCTTCTTTGCTCAAGGTTAGCATTCTACCAGGTAAGGCACAACTCCACTTTCAGCATTTTTGGTAGTTAATTGAAGATAAGAGTTTCATGGAGGGCTGGGAAGGTGGCTCAGTGGTAGAGCGCTTGCCTTGCATGCTCGAGGCCCTGGGTTCGATTCCTCAGCACCACATAAGCAAAAAGAAAAAAGCCGGAAGTGGCGCTGTGGCTCAAGTGGTAGAGCGCTAGCCTTGAGCTGAAGAGCTGAGGGACAGCAACCAGGCCCAGAGTTCAGGCTCCACGACCGGACCCCAAAAAAAAAAAAAAAGAATTTCATGGAGGGCTGGGAAGGTGGCTCAGTGGTAGAGTGCTTGCCTTGCATGCATGAGGCCCTGGGTTCGATTCCTCAGCACCACATAAGCAAAAAGAAAAAAGCTGGGAGTGGTGTTGTGGCTCAAGTGGTAGAGCACTAGCCTTGAGTGAAGAGCTGAGGGACAGCGCCCAGGCCCAGAGTTCAGGCCCCACAACCGGACCCCCCCCCCCCCAAAAAAAAAGTTTCATGGAGCTGGGCACCACTGGCTCACACCAGTAATCCTAACTATTCAGGAGACTGAGATCTGAGGATCGTGACTCAAAGCCAGCCTGAACGGGAAAGCCCATGAGACTTGTTTCCAATTAACCACCAGAAAACCAGAAGTGGCATTGTGGCTCCAGTGGTAGAGTGCTAGTCTTGAGCTGAAGAGCTCAGGAACAGCACTCAGGCCGAGTTTAAGCCCCACAACTGACAAAAAAAAATTAAAATTAAAAATAATAAAAATTAAAAAATAAAGAGTTTCATGGGCTTTCTGGACTGGGCTGGGTTTGAACCACAATCCTCAGATCTCAGCCTCCTGAGTAGGGAGGATTACAGGTGTGAGCACCAGTGCCCAGCTTACACATGCTGTTTGCTTATTCTGGAGGGCACATTTGCCCTTCTCCAGAAGAGCCTGCCTCTCAGAACAGGTCTTCCCTACCCAGTGGAAAGGAACTCCCTCTGGGAGGCTGCATCTTCTGAGGCCTCTTTTTCCATGATTATCATTATGCCAGGGGACTCTCAATAGTGCTCATCTCGAATGCCCTTTCCCCCCATAATCTCCGTTTGAGAGGGGCGGACCCATGGGTTGCATGCCCTACTCCTTGCAATGCAGAAGAGCTTGCTTCAATATGGCTTTTTATCCCAGCCCTGCCCTGTAGACCCGCCATGCCAACCATGCCTGGCACCTCTGGCCTCAGGCCTTCCCAAGGTCCCACCTGTTGTCTTGTTGTGACAACTTTGTGTCAAGATGTAGGTGCACCTGCCAGTGAAGCCAATGTGCCTTTCATCAAAGGTAACATAATGAAGAGCTCCATAGACCACACAAGTGGCAGATCCTGCCCAGGAGACAAATGGAGACTAGATAAGCTGCTTTGCTAACCTTCCTACATCCCAGCTCTGTGCCTCCCAGGGAGGCACGTCCAGCTTCCTCCCCCAGTAGTCCTGGTCCCCCACCCCCACTTCTGGAAACGCACCTGGCTCTCTGGCGCCACCCAGGGAGACACGCCCAGTTCCATTGCTCGGCCCCTAGGAGACACGCCCAGTTCCCTGGCCCCATTCCTCCCCCTTCCCCTGATGGGTCCACCCTGGCTGACAGCACTCACCGAAAGGGTAACATCCATGCTTGTGGTCCCTCAGCTCACACACCATGTTAGCCTTGCACTGAGCTTTCTGGCACTCTATCTGGCCCCCAGATGAGCAACGGCAGCGCTCTGAGCAGTTAGAGTTGAACCACTCTTCTCCAGGCTGGAGGCAAGGGACCCGGAGTCACAAAGCCATCACTCTTGGGCCCTTCCTCTTTTTCCTCCTTGACCAGGCATAGACTTGAACTTGCTCAAGCTCCCCCCTCCCCCCACAATCCTCCCCCTGATATCTCCACTACCCGGGGCTGTTTGCACAGGCTGGTTTACCATGCTGAAATATTCTTCATCTCCAGAGTTCCAAATCATTCAGCAGAATTCAGCTTAAGTGTAACTTTCTCAGAACATGTGAGGATCTCCTGACATCCATAACTCTGGGTTATTTTAATTTTGCGGGTTTGCTTTTGCTTTCTTTCCTTCTTTCCTTTCTTCCTTTCTTCCCTCTGTCCCTCCCCCCCTCTCTTTCTTTCGTGCCAGTCCTGGGGCTTGAACTTAAAACCTGGGCGCTCTACCTCTTCATCTTCATCTTCACCTTCACCTCCAGCTTTTTGATGCTTACTTGGAGATAAGTGTTTCCCAGACTTTCCTAATTGGGCTGGCTTCAAACTATGATCCTTACATCTCAACCTCCTGAGTAATTAGGATGACAGAGGTTAGACACCTGACTGGAGTATTGAACTTTGCCTGGATGTGTGCAGGTACCACTGCATTCTGCTCTCAATTAAAAAGGTCTCCTGAATTTTTCTGCCTGGATTGAACTCTAACCTCAGTCCTCTCCAGATGGTAGGATACTAGAAGCCACCAATGACCAGCTTCCTTGTGCTTTTCAGAAACATGAAATGAGTATCTATTGCTGGGCACCGGTGACTCATGCCTGTAATTCTAGTTACTCAGGAGGCTGAGATCCCAGGATTGCAATTCAAAGCCAGCCCAGGCAAGAAAGTCCATGAGACTTAATTTTTTGTCCCTCATAGGGCTTGAATTCAGGACCTGGGTGCTGTCCCTGAGCTCTTTTGCTCAAGGCTGGGGCTCTACCACTTTGAGCCACAGCTCCACTTCTGGTTTGCTGGTGGTTCATTGGAGATTAGTATCATGGACTTTCCTGCCTGGGCTGACTTTGAACCGTGATCCTCAGATCTCAGCCTCTTGAGTAGCTAGGATTACTTGTGTGAGCTACCAGCACCTTGCTTCCTTAACACTCCTCTCTCTGCCTCAATTCTCTCCCACTCTCCCCTTCCCCTCCACCCCCCTCAAAGCTCAGAGACAAGCCAGGTGCTAGTGGCTCACACCTGTAATCCTAGCTACTCAGGAGGCTGAGATATGAGGATGGTGGTTCAAAGCTAGCATGGGCACAAAAGTCTGTGAGACTCTTATCTCCAATAAACCACCAGAAAACCAGAAGTGGCACTGTGGCTCAAGTGGTAGAGCACTAGCCTTGAGGGACAGCACTCAAGCCCGAGTTCAAGCCCTACAACAACAACAACAAAAAAAAAGCTCAAAGACAATGCTCAGGCCCTGAGTTCAAGCCCCAGGAATGGCGAAGAAAAAAAAAAAAAGCTGGAAGCTAGTGGCCTGTCATCCTAGCCACAACAATCCAAGCCCAGTGTTAATGGCTCACACCTGTAATCTCAGCTACTCAGGAGGCTGAGATCTGAGGATCTTCATCAAAGCCAGCCCAAGAGGTAGAGTACTTGCCTAGCAAGACAGGCCCTGAGTTCAAGCTCCAGTACTACTGAAACCAAACAAACCTCACATGTTGAAGGACCTGTTGGTCCTTCTTTCATAGGGCTTTAAGCTGAGTCTTTGGGACAAGCAGCTGCCATTGGGACCCAGGAGTGCCTCCATCAACCTCCCTCCTGGAGCCCAGCATCCTGCAACCTTACCTGATAGTATCTGTTACTGTAGAAACAATGACAGGACAAGGCACTGATGCAGTTGTTCTGGCTAAACAAAAAGCCTTGATTGCAGATACAGCCTGGTGAGCAGTGTGGCTCACAAGTGGGTTTGGGGTTCTCACAGGATGCAGGGCACATACAGGGTTCATAGTGGGCATTTGGAGGGCAACTCACTGAGAAGAAAAGAGCCACTGTCAAGGCTTTAATCCACAGCTGGTCCTCAAAGCCTCCCCATCCCTCCACCACCCCTGAAATCAAATTCTTCTCTAAAGAAGGCCTGTATTTATCCCGCCTCAAGGAACAAGCTCTAAGCCAGGCGCCAGTGGCTCACACCTATAATCCTAGCTACTCAGGAGGCTGAGATCTGAGGATTATGGTTCAAAGCCAGCCCAGGCAGGAAAGTCTGTGACTCTTATCTCCAACAAATCACTAGAAAACTGGAAGTAGCATTGTGGCTCAAGCGGTAGAGTGCACACCTTGAGCTGAAGAGCTGAGGGACAGCGCCCAAGCCCAGAGTTCAAGCCCCATGACCGACAAAAAAAAAAAAAAAAAAAAAGACACAAGCTCTGCTCTCATTACAACACAGAGAGGCCTTAAAGACACTACTCAAAGAGAAAATCATGTAAACCAGGCACCAGTGGCTCACGCCTGCCTTCCTAGCTACTCAGGCAGCTGAGATTTGAGGATCATGGTTTGAAGCCAGCCTGTGCAGAAAAGTTCCTGAGACTCTTATCTCTAAATTAACTAGCAAAAAGCCAGAAGTGGTGCTGTGGCTCAATTGGTAAGGGGCCAGCCTTGAATGAAAAGGGACAGTGCAAGGCCTTGAGTACTGGCAGAAGAAGAGGAGGAGGAGGAAGGGGGAGGAGTACTCAGAAGGCTGAGATCTGAGGATTGTGGTTTGAAGCCAATTTGGGCAAGAAAGTCCATGAGACTCTTATCTCCAATAAACTACTCAGAGAAAGCCAGAAGTGGTGCTGTGGCTCAAGTGGTAGAGTGTTAGCCTTGTGCAAAAGAAGCTCAGGAACAGCCCAAGCCCTGAGTTCATGCACTAGGACTGGCGAAAGAGATAGAGTAAGAGAGCGAGTGAGAGAGAGAGAGAGAGACAGAGACAGACAGACAGAGAGACAGAGACAGAGCGTGGAGAGAGAGAGAGGGTCTGACAAAACTTTTCTGCCTGAGCTGGCTTTGAACTGAGATTCTCTAGAGCTCAACCTTCTAAGTAGTTAGGATGACAGGCGTGAGCCACCAGTGCCTGGCTCAGTCTTTATTCTTTTATTAAAAAAAGTTCCCCAGGACTAACTCATCTCTGTATCCAGGGCAGTATTTCTACTAAGAAAATTCCTCTTCCCAAATTCCTCCTGCCTACTGTGCCCCCTACTGGAGCCCCAACCCTGCATACCTGTGGTGAGTGTAGCATTTCTGGTGGTGGATGGGGCCTGGCTGGTTCCTGAGGCCCATACTGTTGACTGAGTGGGGAGAGTAGCCTTTTGAGTAGGGACTGTGGGCTTTTTGGTGGAGATCGTGGGCTTTTGAGTGGGGACTGTGGGCTTTTTGGTGGGGATCGTGGGCTTTTGAGAGGGGGCTGTGGGCTTTTCGGTAGGGACCATAGGCTTTTCTGTGGGGATTGTGGGCTTTTCTGTGGGAACCGTAGGCTTTTCTGTGGGGACCATGGGCTTTTCCGTGGGGACCATGGGCTGTTCTGTGGGGATCATGGGCTTTTCTGCGGGGATCATGGGCTTTTCTGCGGGGATCATGGGCTTTTCTGTGGGGATCATGGGCTTTTCTGTGGGGACCATGGGCTGTTCTGTGGGGATCATGGGCTTTTCTGTGGGGACCATGGGCTTTTCTGTGGGGATCATGGGCTTTTCTGGAGGGACCATGGGATTTTCTGTGGGGATCATAGGCTTTTCTGTGGGGATCATGGGCTTTTCTGGGGGTACAGTGGGTTTTTCTGGGGGGACCGTGGGCTGTTCTGTGGGGACCGTGGGTGTTAGGGTTGGGAGGGTGGGTTTCTCTGTAAGGACAGCAGGTTTTTCAGTGGCCGCTTCCACTGGGACCATGGGCACTTCAGGTGGGACTGTGGTAGATTCTGTGACTGCTTGTGTTGGAAATGTAGTTGTTTCAGTGGTTGCTTCTGTTGGGACCATAGTCATTTCAGTGGTTGCTCCCATTGGGACTGTGGTCATTCCAGTGGTCACTCCCATTGGGACCGTGGCAGCCTCTGTGACTGTTTGTGTTGGAAATGTGCTTGTTACAGTGGTTGCTCCAAGTAGGATCGTGACAGTTCCTGTGGTTGTGGTCGTTTCGAACAGGATGTTGGTTGCTTCTGAGGCTACTTCAGCTGGGACTGGGGCTGGGACTTGCTCAGTGGTCAATTGAACTGAAACAGAAGCTGTTTCCATGGGTGATCCAGCTGGAATTGTGGCTGCTTCTGGGGAGGATCCCCCTGGATACGTGGTTTCTACCACGGTAGGCCCAGCTGGAAACATGGCAGGTTCTGTGGTTGGTCCACCTGGAAATGTGGCTGCTTCTGGGGAGGACCCTCCTGGAAATGTGGCTTCTACTACTACGGTAGGCCCAGCTGGAAATATGGCTGGTTCTTTGGTTGATCCACCTGGAAATGTGGCTGCTTCTGGGGAGAATCCACCTGGAAATGTGGCTGTTTCTACCACAGTAGGCCCAGCTGGAAACATGGCTGGTCCAGTGGTCAATCCAGCTGGAAATGTGGTTGTTTCCAAGGTTGATCCACCTGGAAACGTGGCTTCTGCTACCACAGTTGGCCCAGCTGGAAACATGGCAGGTTCTGTGGTTGGTCCACCTGGAAATGTGGCTGCTTCTGGGGAGGACCCCCCTGGAAATGTGGCTTCTACTACCACGGTAGGCCCAGTTGGAAACATGGCTGGTGCTGTGGTCGGTCCACCTGGAAATGTTGCTGCTTCTGGGGTGGATCCTCCTGGAAATGTGGCTTCTGCTACCACAGTAGGCCCAGCTGGAAACATGGCTGGTTCGGTGGTCAGTCCAGCTGGAAATGTGGTTGTTTCCAAGGTTGATCCGCCTGGAAATGTGGCTTCTGGTACTACGGTAGGCCCAGTTGGAAACATGGCAGGTTCTGTGGTTGGTCCACCTGGAAATGTGGCTGCTTCTGGGGTGGATCCTCCTGGAAATGTGGCTTCTGCTACCACAGTAGGCCCAGCTGGGAACATGGCTGGTTCGGTGGTCAATCCAGCTGGAAATGTGGTTGTTTCTAAGGTTGATCCCCCTGGAAACGTGGCTTCTGCTACCACAGTAGGCCCAGTTGGAAACATGGCAGGTTCTGTGGTTGGTCTACCTGGAAATGTGGCTGCTTCTGGGGAGGATCCCCCTGGAAATGTGGCTGTTTCTACCACAGTAGGCCCAGCTGGAAACATGGCTGGTCCAGTGGTCAATCCAGCTGGAAATGTGGTTGTTTCCAAGGTTGATCCCCCTGGAAATGTGGCTTCTGCTACCACGGCAGGCCCAGCTGGGAACATGGCTGGTTCGGTGGTCAATCCAGCTGGAAATGTGGTTGTTTCCAAGGTTGATCCCCCTGGAAATGTGGCTTCTGCTACCACGGTAGGCCCAGCTGGAAACATGGCTGGTTCTGTGGTTGGTCCACCTGAAAATGTGGCTGCTTCTGGGGAGGATCCCCCTGGAAATGTGGCTGTTTCTACCACAGTAGGCCCAGCTGGAAACATGGCTGGTTCTGTGGTTGGTCCACCTGGAAATGTGGCTGCTTCTGGGGAGGATCCCCCTGAAAATGTGGCTGTTTCTACCACAGTAGGCCCAGCTGGAAACATGGCTGGTCCAGTGGTCAATCCAGCCGGAAATGTGGTTGTTTCCAAGGTTGATTCTCCTGGAAATGTGGCTTCTGATACCATGGTAGGCCCAGCTGGAAACATGACTATTTCTGTGGTTGATCCACCTGGAAATGTGGCTGCTGCTTCCATTGTTGATCCAGTTGGAAACACGACTGTTTCTGTGGTTGATTCAGCTGGAACCGTGGCTTCTGCTGCTATGGTAGGCCCAGCTGGAAACATGGCTGGTTCCATGGTCGATCCAGCTGGAAATGTGGCTGCTGCTTCCATGGTTGATCCAGTCAGAAAAATTGCTGCTTCCATGGTTGACCCAGCTGGAAACTTGACTGGTTCTGTGGCTGATCCAGCTGGAAATGTGGCTGCTGTTTCTGGGGTGAATCCAGCTGGAAACAAGGCTGGTTGTGTGGTCGATCCCACTGGAACTGTGGCTGGTTCTGTGGTTGATTCGACTGGAAATGTGGCTGCCTCCGTGGTCACTTCAGCTGGGGCTGGCGCTGCTTCAGCTGGGGATATGGTAGTCATTTGAGCTGGGACCATGGCTCCTTCTGTGGAAATGGTGGGATTTTCTGTGGACACTAAGGGTTTCTCAATGGGGAGAGTGGGTTTTTCAGTGGAGAAAGTGGGCTTTTCTGTCAAGACAACTGGCTCTTCTGCCGGGACAGTGGGTTCTCCTGAGGGAATCATCGTTGTAGAAGGCTCATGTGGCGGAACTATAGGTCCGGTAGAAACCATTGTCAATGTGGGTGGTGCTGTGGTAGTGACCACTGAGAAAAACAAAACAAAACAAAAGCTTGGAGTTCAGTTGCAATCATACACAGCCTTCTTTTACTACCCCTAACTGGAATAAGTGGGCTCAAAGTCACCTCTGATCTCTAATCTTTACTCCCTTAAACATTCAACAGAGGTCCTCACCTGTGTATGCAATACTACGTTGGGTTCAGGAAGCTCAAATACAAGCAAGACAGTGGGTCATGCATTTTCAGGTTGTGAATGGAGTCCCAGGAACTCATGTTCCAGGAAAGATAGAGGTAACAGAACCCCAGAACCCATGTTGGGCACAGTGGCCTTGCAGTGAATGTGGGTCATGGAAAAGGCCTTGAGTGGCCATCTTACCTCCACAGAGTCTGTGGCTGATCTTAATAAAACGCACGGCAACGAGGAAGGCAGAGTTGCTACCCCGGGTTGCCTCAAAAAACAGCTGAATGAAAGGAAAGAGGAAAAGAAGGAAGGAAATGCTGGCAACTCAGTACCTCTGTCTGGGCACATTCCCTGCCAACCTGCCACCTGTGCCCCAATAGCCTGAACAGCCTATGCCACCTGAACCCTAAATCTACCTCCTCTCTGCTACCTTTACAGAACCCAGCATTGGACACACCTCCACATCCACATTCTTTTTCGTCATATTGAGGATTGAACTCAGGGCCTGACTCTTGCTAAGCAATTGTTCTACCCACTGAGCTATGCTGCTTTTCTACTGTGTTTCAAATATACAGTCTTGTATGTGCATTTTTGGCCAGAATTTATCTATGTTATTTATATATATGTGTGTGTGTGTGTGTGATATCCAGGGGCTTGAATTTAGGGTGTAGGCACTGTTCCTGAGCTTTTGTGCTCAAAGTTAGCACTCTACCACTTGAGGCACAGCTCCATTTCTGTTTTTTTTGATTAATCATATATAAGAGTTTCACAGACTTTCCTGCCCAGGCTGGCTTTGAACCATGATCCTCAGATCTCAGCCTCCTGAGTAGGTAGGATTTTAGGCATGAGCCACCAGTGCCCAGCTCCAAGTCAATTTTGGACTGAGATCCTCCTACCTCCACTTCTCAGTTAGCCAGGTTATGGTCATATGGTATGACACCACATCTGCCTTGGTTTTGAGATATGGCCTTTGTTAATGCTTTTGCTCAGGCTGGCTTCAAGCTGCAATCCTATCTCTACCTCCTAAGGAGTGGGGATTATAGGTATGCACCGCAATGGCTAGAAGCCCTGGATCCCTTCTCTATGCCCTATGTAGACATATACAGGGTCCAGTCACCATCTTACCTGCATGGGCTGTTGATATCCCGAGGGAACAGTGACAGAGCTGTTCAGCCATCCAGGGCCCTGAGCCCCAACACGGTGCCACAGAGTAATGGGGGAACTACCTGCAGGACTCCCCAACAGCAGCTTAAGCATGGAACCTTTTCCAAGGCCATTCATGTGGTAGGCAAACTCCACACAGATGTCCCCTGGAGCGCAGAAGGGTCGGCTCCCCAGCCGGACGGACTGCCCTGCCCGGGAGAACTTGTCTGCCTCAAAGTAAATGTAGTGTTCTCCTGGATAAAAGAGGGGAACCAGCAAGGTGAGACACCCTGAAACAAACATACACATACAAAACACACACACACACACACACACACACACACACACATATATACAGGACATGCTGCTGTGGTCATGTCTGGCTTTTCTTTTCTTTTTCTTTCTTTTTTTTTTTCTCTTTTTCTTTTTTTCAATCCTGGGCTTGAACTCAGGGCCTGGGTGCTGTCCCTGAGCTTTTGTCCTCAAGACTGACACTCTACCACTTGAGCCATACCTTCACTTCCAGTGTTCTGGTCATTAATTGGAAATAAGAGTCTCATGGATTTTCCTGTCCGTGCTGGCTTTGAACCATGATCCTCAGATCTCAGCCTCCTTAGTAGCTAAGATTACAGGCATGAGCCACTGGCACCCAGCTGATGTTTGACTTTCCAAGTAGACATGAAAAGCCCACATTATTACATTTTTCTTTGGTCATTTTGGACTTCTTACTAAAGAAGTCAGGAAAGACAGTAAAATATCAAATCTGCCACCCAGTCAGAAATACCCAGAAATCATCAGTTGTGGCTGGTGGTTTTGTTTTTATTTTCATTTTTTTTAATTGTTTGCAGTGCTAAGGACTGAACTCAGAGCCTTATGCATACTTGGGGATTGCTCTACCACAGAGCTAAGCCTACAGGGTTTTGGGGTTGTGTGTGTGTGTGTGTGTGTGTGTGTGTGTGTGTGTGTGTGTGTGTTTTGTTTTGTTTTGTTTTGCAATACTGGGGTTTAAACGCAGGGCTTTCTTGGCTGGTACTCTATCACTTGAATCATGGCTCCAGCCCTACATTTTTTTATAGTTATTTTGGAGATGGAGTGTCATGGACTTTTCTGCCCAGGCTAACCTGAGCCTCTTGAGTAGCTAGGATTTTAAGTTTGAGCCACCAGCACCTGGTAAGACAGTCTTGTGAAGCCTTGGGCTTACTCAAATGGGAACTGTGCATTTTCTTGGGGATCATAGTTATCCTACAACCTAGAAGATTCTCAATTGAGCCTGCCCTGTCCTCAGCTCGGGCCCATGCAAGGACCCCTATAAATATGGAGCTGAGCTTCCTCCAGCCATGGCCAGAGCCAGGCCTAGCTGAGAGCAAAGGCAGCGGCTCACTGGCTTGAGGCATCCTCACCTGGAACTGGCAGCTGATGCCTACAACACCAGCTACTCAGGAGCCTGAGATCTGAGGGTCATCACGGTTCGAAGCCAGCTCAAGCAGGAAAGTCCATGAGACTCTTCTCTCCAATGAGCTACCAAAAACCAGAAGTGGAGCTGTGGCTCCAGTGGTAGAGCACTAGCCTTGATCAAAGAAGCTCAAGGACAGTGCCCAGGCCCTGAGTTCAAGCCCCAGGACTGGTACAAAAAAGGTAAAGAAAAAGCTCCTTACCTCCATATGTGGAATCTTTGGAGCCTCCCACAATGGTGGGGAGGTTTTTGCTTCCCCAGGCCCAGTGTCCACCATCACTGAATACATGGCTCCAGTCGCAGAACGGATGGGCACTGTCTTCAAAGTCACAGTGAGGGACGCTCTCTAGCAGGTTCAAGAGAGAGGGGTGTGAGGAACTTGAGCTATGCTTCCTATTTCCCCCACTCCCATTCTGGGGAAGGGCCCAACTCCCACTCACCCCCACAGGGAGCAATGCTTATGGCATCCACGGCGACCGCCGGCTCTGGGATGATTCCAAAGACGCCCACCACGGTGAACTAGAGAGAAGTGAGGGGAGGGCTGGGTGGGTGGAAAGCCTGCCCCCTCCCATCCTCAACTCATGCGCACATGGGGATGACCTGACCTTTACCCCTTACTCTGTAATTCTTCGATACCTGAATCTGTCCCTGCCCTGTGTAGTTGACAGACACAGGCTTCCAGGTGGGTCCTGGTTGTCCTGAGAAGATCGTGTGTTTCCGGATACTGCCTAGGATGGACAAAATACCAGACATGTGAGCCTCAGGGGGCTGAGAATTGACGAATCAGTTGTCAAGGGAACCACTGACCAGTATCTCTCAACTTCAAGCAATCTCTGTCTTTCCTACTCCTGGTGTATGCACACGTGCGCTGGTACTGAGGTTTGAATTTAGGGCCTGGGCACTGTCCTTAAGCTTTTTTACTCAAGGTTAGCACTCTATCACTGGAGCCACAACTCCACCTCCAGCTTTTTATTGGAGATATAGAGTGTTGAGGTCTTTCTGTCCAGGCTGGCTTTAACCTAAGATCCTCCAGATATCAGCCTCCTCCTGAATAGCAAGGATGACAGGCATTGAGCCAAGCCGCTAGCACCTGACCAAGGTACTTTACTTGCCCCGAATCCACTGCCCTCCCTGTATCCACTTAATGGAATGATCTCACATTCACCCTCCCCCCCCCCCCCCAGATTTCCCCAGACATTGAAGTACCCATCCCTTTGGAGATGCAGTCCAGGCACTACAAACAGAGGGGGAACCCTCTCTTCTAACCTAACAGGGAGGCATAGACGAGAAGAGCTGCGTCAAGAGAATGTCCCCACAGGATGTAATTGAAGGAAAGGGTCAGGCAGCCATCAGACTGACTCAGGGGGCTGAGGAGAACAGATTTCTGCCCAGGCTTTGCGTTTTTGGGGTCCAGGAGCATATAGAAGCCATCTGTGGAAGGAAAAAGCCAGTCAGGGTTGGTGGCTGCAAGCGAGGGGGGTTTCAGCCCCAACTGCTGCCTTGAGGCAGGAGGGCCGAGGTAGGGCCTCACTTTGCCCCTGGTCGCAGCCTGCAGCCCACCCAAGGGCATGGGCGAGGATCTGGTGGGAGCCAAGGACAGAACCTTGTCCTCACAAGGTTGAGTCTTCCCTAAACATAGCTTCTTTCTTTTCTTCTTTGTGCCAGTCCTGGGGCTTGAACTCAGGGCCTGGGCACTCTCAGTTTTTTGTTTTTCACTCAAGGCTCGTGCTCTACCACTTGAGCCACAGCTCCACTTACAGCTTCTTGGTGGCTAACTGGAGATAGTCTTACAGAGGGCTGGGAAGGTGGCTCAGTGGTAGAGCGCTTGCCTTGCATGCATGAGGCCCTGGGTTTGATTCCTCAGCACCACATAAACAGAAAAAGAAAAAAAAGTGGCGCTGTGGCTCAAGTAGTAGGCCACTAGCCTTGAGCTGAAGAGCTGAGGGACAGCGCCCAGGCCCAGAGTTCAGGCCCCACAACCAAAAATAAAAGTCTCACAGACTTTCCTGGCTTCGAACCGTGATCCTCAGATCTCAGCCTCCTGAGTGGCTAGACGTGAGCACTGGCGCCAAGCTCGGCTTTTTTTTTTTTTTTCCCCCTTCGACTTACTGGACATTGTCCTAGTTACACAAATTCGTGAGGAGAAAGAGCCGCGTACCCGCGCATCCCCGACGCCAACCAAACAGCCAATTAGCTTGCACCTTGCTCAGTGACGGAATTAGTAACTAGGTGGGAAAGGAAGGAGGCTGCTGACTTGTCAGGAACGCGCACGCATGCGTGTGGTCCGGACGGACGCGTGCACGCACACGCCCGCCGCCGTGCTGGCTGAGGCGTATGGGTTTGACTGGGGATGCAGGGAATCTGTTAGGGAGGGAAGTGGCGGGAGCGGGAGAGCCGGAAATGAAAAGGCAAGTGGAAGGAAAGGAAATGGGAAAATGGTGGCATTTCTCTTCCTCTTGTTTTCTCCTGGGGCGATTTATGAGAAATTAAAAAGAATTAATAGATTAAAAATAATAATCAGACGGGACTGGGAAGGTGGCTCAGTGGTAGAGCGCTTGCTTTGCATGCATGAGGCCCTGGGTTCGATTCCTCAGCACCACATACGCAAAAAGAAAAAAAAGCCGGAAGTGGCGCTGTGGCTCAAGTGGTAGAGCGCTAGCCTGGAGCTGAAGAGCTGAGGGACAGCGCCCAGGCCCAGAGTTCAGGCCCCACGACTGACAAAAAACAAAATAAAACATATTTTTTTAAGGAATCAGGCGTGCTTGCTGTAATCTCAGCACTGATTAGGCGGATTCCAGGCCAGCCTGGGCTACATTGAGGCCCTGGATTCTGTTATCAGCACCCCCAAAATTTAATTACTTAAATAAAATCAGGCAGATTACGTTGTAAATGTGACCCAAATCCTTGCTAGAGAATAAAAATGACAGTCCTGACAGTGGCATTTAAGCTCTGGGTCCCAGCCCTGTGAAGATACTGACATCACAGTCTTTGTTGAACCTGAAACCTCTCTCACCTTTGCACAGCTGGCCCCTCTTTCTGGAACATTCTGCCCTATTCCCAATATTTTTTTGTGCTTTATTCCATCAACTCTTTCAGGTTTGTGTGGCCTAAGGGGAAATCTACCCTGGCCACTCTATTTATTTTTTTTGGGGGGGGGGGGTCCAGTCGTGGGGCCTGAACTCTGGGCCTGGGCGCTGTCCCTCAGCTCTTTAGCTCCAGGCTAGCACTCTACCACTTGAGCCACAGCACCACTTCCAGTTTTTTTTTTCTGCTTATGTGGTGCTGAGGAACCGAACCCAGGACCTCATGCATGCAAGGCAAGCACTCTACCACTGAGCCAACTTCCCAGCCCTAGCCACTCTATTTAAAATCCACAGTCCTTCCCTTAATTTCCCCATAGCAATGTTCACCTTCTCCTAACTGTGTAATTCAGGGTGGGCTTTTGTTTGTTTTGTAGTTGTTTGTTTGTACCAGCTCTGGGGCTTGAACTCAGGGCCTGGGCCTGTTCTTTAGATTTTCCACTTGAGGCTGGCATTTTATTATTTGAGTCCCAGCACCACTTTTTGCATTTTGACAGTTAATTGGAGATAAGAGTCACCTGGATTGTTCTTCCTGGTCAGGCTTTGAACCTCAATCCTCAAATATCAGATCTCCTGAGTAGCTAGGATTACAGGCATGAGCCACCAGCACCCAGCTGTAATTTATTTCTTTGTTTGGGAAACTATCTCTTCACCTCCCCTTTGTCTGTGGTGTGTATTGGTTCAAGAGTGCACAAGATACAGCCTACCACATTATAGGTGCTCAGTAGGGAAGGAAGGAAGGAAGGAAGGGAGGGAGGGAGGAAGGAAGGAAGGAAGGAAGGAAGGAATAGTGAAGGGTCCCAGGGTAAGGTGATCAGGAGCCAGCAGTGAAGGAAGCTGGTGGTACTGCCATCAAAGCTGAACTGAAGCTTGAGGCTGCTAGAACTCCCCTAGCTAGGCCCAAGGCAGGTATTACAAAGTGTGGAGGTCATTGGAGCCTAGAAAGTCACAGGACAACGCAGGCTCAGTACTCACGGCCAGGACTAGAGAAGTCATCTTCAGGTCCCACACCTGTCTTTCCTGATGACCCATTCTTCTGAACCCACTTGGCCCCCGTGGGAGTGGGGATCCAGCTCCAACCACAGAGATCATTGAGAGTGTCAAAAGTGCACATTTTCATCATGCATACTGAGAGAGAAGAGAGGAAGGGCTAGCCACACACCATGATTCATGCCTGTAATCCCACTACTCAGGAAGCTGAGATCTGAGGATCATGAAGCCATCTTGAGCAGGAAAGTCCATGAGACTCTTCTCTCCAATTAACCAGTAAAAGGATGGAAGTGGAGCTGTGGCTCAAGTGGTAGAGTGCCAGGGATGGTGTCCAGGCCCTGAATTCAAGCCCCAATAGTGGCACAAAAATTAAGAAGAAGGAGGGAGCTTAGTGCACACTAAGGCTTGAACTCAAACTGGGGACTTCCTGCTCTTGCTCTCCCCTTGGCATTCTTGCTCACACCTGGCATTTTACCACTTAAGCCACACCTCCAGCCCAGCCTCTTGGCTGGTTAATTGGAGACAATTCTCAATTAGTTTGCTCAATCTCAATTTCCTCATCTCTAAACTATTGCATGGACAGCACGCTACCACTTGAGCCATAGTCCCACTCCCAGATTTTTGCTGGTTAACTAGTGATCAGGCTCTTACAGACTTTCCCATCTGGGCTGCCTTCAAACCTCAATCCTCAGCCTCCTGAGCAGCTAGGATTACAGGCATGAACTACTATGTCCAGCTGGGTCACAACTCTGTATTGAAGGAGGACCCCTCTTGATGCATGGCTACTTTCAGGGTCAGACCCTGGGTTCTGAGGCACCCCACAGGGGAAATTTGCCAGGGATCAGAGAGAAACTGACGGGGGGGGGGGGGGGAGGGAGACAAGACTCACCCCGATTGCAGGTACCTCGATGGATGGACAGGGCGTCCAGGGAGATGTCCAGGAAGGGGGTATTGCCCCTCATTCCCTCGAATATCAGCTGTAGGATGGGGGGCACACAGAGACCCCGAGCCTTGTGAGCCACTTGGCCTGGCTCCCTGACTCCCTCTTTTTTTTTCCCCCTGTATTTTTCTGAGGAGCAGTGCTGGGGTTTGAACTCAGGACTTTCCCCTCACTACACAAGTGCTCTGCTACTGGAGCCTCATCCCCCATCCTCCTGCCCCTTTTTCCTCGGATGGCCTGCCCCCCACCAGGTCCCCTTCTTTTCCCAGCCCAGCACCCACCCCCACTCCCAGCCTCCCCGTGGGGCCCCTAAGTGTGCCCCAGGCCTCACCCGGCTTGGCAGGATCAACTCAGCGGGCAGTGTGACAGTGGTGGGCATCCAGGAGGGGCTCTGGGTGTTCACGTGTTTCCAGAGCACCTTGGGGCGGTTGTCCTGTGTCCCCATGAGCAGGAGGAGTCTGAGCTGGGCACCCCAGGACAAGCCAAACATGTGGTAGGCGAAATACAGGCAGAGCGGGCCATGCTCCCAAATATCCGGGCTACGCAGGCGGGCCACTCCACCCGTCCGGAAGGTTCTAGAATCCATGTGCAGGTAGTAGCCCTCTGGAGGAGGCAGAGCCAACGATGCTGAGGTCCTGCTGTCCCCAAGGGCTGTGCCCAAACATCACCCCAGCCCACCCTGCTCTAAGCCCAGTGTCTGCTTCCGTCCTCCTCCTGCCCACTGCCTGCCATCCGCTCTCAGGAGTTCCCAGAGGCCCCTCACCTCCAGTGGGGTACCCGCCGGGGGGCCCAGAGATGCCAGTCGGGGAGGGCCCGCTGGTTCGAATCCAGTCCCCGTCATCTGCAGACACTTGGGACCAGTCACAGAGGGGTTTGCTGTCATCTTCAAAATCACACTTAGTGATAATAGCTAGAGAGAGAGAGAGGGAGAAGAGAGAAGGAGGGAAGGAGAGAAGGAGGGAAGGAGAGGAGGGAGGGAGAGGGAGAGAGAGCAGGAAGAAAAAGGAAGGAAAGAAAGAAAGAAAGAAAGAAAGAAAGAAAGAAAGAAAGAAAGAAAGAAAGAAAGAAAGAAAGAAAGAAAGAAAGAAAAAGAGAAAGAAAGGAAGGAGAGAGAGGGAAGGAAGGAAGGAAGGAAGGAAGGAAGGAAGGAAGGAAGGAAGGAAGGAAGGAAGGAAGGAAAAAGGGAAGGAGGGAGGGAGGGAAGGAGGGGGAAAAAAAGAAAAGGAAAGGAGCCAGTGAGGCCTTAGGGCAGAGGGAAAGGGCAAAGGAGGGTATGGCCAGACCACAGAGCCACCCTGGGAAATGAGGTGAGGAGGGTCACTGAGCTTAGAGGGAGGCAACACTGCCGTTTGGGATGGGATCAGAGGTCTGGGAGACAGTACTTTAGGAAACACTCAGGGCTGGGAAGAGGGTGGGCAGAATGGCAGGGTCAAGGGCCGTGAACTGTTTTGCTGTATTATTTTTATTGTTGTTTTATTTTTGTTTTGTGTTTTGTGAGACAGGGTCCTGCTATGTAATCCAGGCTGGCCTTAAATCCAAGATCCTCCTGCCTCTGCCTCCGAAGGCTGGGGTTATAGGTATGTAATACCACTCCTGATTGTTGTTAGTTTATTTGAATGTAGAGCTTCCCTCCCTCCCTCCCTCCCTTCCTCCCTCCCTCCCTCCTCCTCCTCCTCTTACCTTCTGTCCTTCCTTCCTTTTTATCGGTTCTGGGCTTTGAACTCAGGACCTTGTCCCTGCTATACAGGCCCTCTACAAATGAGTCATGCCTCTAGCTTTTTATTTGCACAGGCTGAGATGGGATCTTACTTCCTGCTCAAACACAAGACTGGACTGCACTCTGTCTAGTTAAGGCTCCCTGAGGCAGCTAAGATGGCAGGCATGTGCCAGAGCACCTAGCTTCCTACCCTTGAGATGGATTCTCATGAATTTTTGTGCTTGGAACCAAGATCCTCCCAATCTGAACCTCCCAAGTAGCTAGGATTACAGGCCATCCATCAGTGACTGGCCTAAGTAGAGAAATCTCCTCTTCAGGGCTGGACTTGCCTTATGTCCCCACCACTCTGCTCTGAGCACCAGTATTCCGTGTCACATCACTGCCATGTCCTAAGGACACCTAAGATGGCCACCCCTGGGCTGAGGATTGGCTTTCATTGCCAGATCCTGGGTCCTAAGAAGGGAGAGGAGGCCCAACTTACAGTTGTCCACAGAGCGACGAACAAACACCTCCCAGTCCAGAGGGTTCTGTGTCCTTGGTGTTGGAGAAAGCAAAAATGCCGCCTTTGTCATTAAATCAAGAATTATAAGACTCTAAGATAGTGTGTATTCTGAGAGCTGATTTTTAGATGCTTCTTCCTCTCTCCCTACATTGACCTGTCTTCTTTAAGATTTAAAAAAAAAAAAAAAAAAAAAAGCTGGGCTCCAGTGGCTCATGCCTGCAATCGTAGCTACTCAGGAGGCTGAGATCTGAGGATCACCATTCAAAGCCAACCTGGGCAGGCAAGTCCGAGAGATTCGAATCTCCAATGAGCCACCAGAAACCCAGAAGTGACACCATGACTTAAAGTGGTAGAGTGCTAGTCTTAAGCAAAAGAGCTTGGGGATAGTGCCCAGGCTCTGAGTTCAAGCCTCACGATTTAAAAAAAAAAAAAGGATTTCAAGGAAAGTCACCCACAGCCTCTTCAGCCAGTCTCCTAAAAAATGTTCCTCCTCCAGCCTCTCCCATTCTACATCTACGCAGCGGTTGTGCGCAGATGAACTGGGCAGAGGTCATGCCCCATATGAGAATTCCTCCGTAGCATCTCCATTCTCCCCCGGGGGCGTCTCTTTGTGCAGGGGAGGAGGACAGGAGGAGGAGTTTTTCACTATTGCCGATGTAGGGGCTGAATGGATCCCAGGTGCCCGGTGGGTGATGAGATGGGGTTTCTTCACCTATACCCAACTCAATATAGAAGCCAGGGGTGACCCCTAGGGGCCACCCCTGCCCACCTATCACCCTCAGAGACCTGTCCCCCCTCCCTAGGCATGTTGGGCCAAGAACATGGCCTTTCATTTTCTTTTCTTCTTCTTCTTTTTTTGGTCGGTCGTGGGGCTTGAACTCTGGGATTGGGTGCTGTCCCTCAGCTCTTCAGCTCAAGGCTAACGCTCTACCGCTTGAGCCACAGTGCCACTTCCAGTTTTCTGGTGGTTAATTGGAGATAAGAGTCTCACGGACTTTCTTTCCCCGACTGGCTTTGAATGGTGATCCTCAGATCTCAGCCTCCTGAGTAGCCAGGATTACAGGCGTGAGCCACCAGTGCCAGGCTAAGGCCTTTCATTTTCTTCAAGTCCTTGGTCAAATCCTCCTCCCAAGCTCCAGGAACTAACTTTCTTGCTTGCTTTGGCGCCTGTCGTGGGGCTTGAGCTCAGGGTCTTGTGTTCTTACTTGTTTTTGTTTTGTTTTTCACTCAAGGCTGGTGCTCTACCACTTGAGCCCCAGCTCCCCCTCCAGCTTCTTGCTGGTTTATGGGAGATAGGAGTCTCACAGACTAGGGCTAGGAAGGTGGCTCAGTGGTAGAGTGCTTGCCTCGCATGCATGAAGCCTTGGGTTCGATTCCTCAGCACCACATACACAGAAAAAGCTGGAAGTGGCGCTGTAGCTCAAGTAGTAGAGCACCAGCCTTGAGCAATAGCAGCTCAGGGACAGCGCTCAGGCCCTGAGTTCAAGCCCCAGGACTGGCATTAAAAAAAAAAAAAAAGAGTCTCACAGACTTTCCTGCCCAGGCTGGCTTCAAAGCTTGATCCTCAGATCTCAGCCTCCTGAGTAGCCAGGATTATAGATGTGAGCAAGGGGCACCTAGTTTCCATCATTTCTTGCTGCTGCTACCCAAAATCTGTGCCTACTTTGTTTTTTTCTGTTTTCAGAGGGCCTAATTTCTCTGTCATCCATCATCATCTGGCTCCCCAACTCCCTACCTCCTATTTCTTCTTCTTCTTCTTTTTTTGGGGGTCTGGTCATGGGTCCTGAACTCTGGGCCTGGGCGCTGTCCCTCAGCTCTTCAGCTCAAAGCTAGCGCTCTACCACTTGAGCTATATCGCCGCTTCTGGCTTTTTCTGCTTATGTGGTGCTGAGGAATCGAACCCAAGGCCTCAGGCATGCAAGGCAAGCACTCTACCACTGAGCCACCTTCCCAGCCCTCCTATTTCTTCTTAATTACACCCCCCCTTATTTCTTCTTAATTCCAACTCCCCCCAAATTTGTAGTTTGTGGGTCAACCTATCTCCATCCCACTGGGCTGCCTGCCTGCCACCCCAGCATGCTGTCTTTGTCTTTGGCCTGCCTGCTTTGTCCACCCAACTGCCCCTGTTCCATCTCCCCCTCCCCAACAAAGGTCCCTGCTTACCAGGACAGGACAGACATGTGAATCCAGGTGGCCCCCATTATTAGCACCAGAGTCCAAACTGCATACTCCATGAGGGGACCTCAGAGGTGACCCCTGGGTGCAGGGAGAGGGGACAGGACAGAATCTGGGCCTCTCTTCTATACCTCTGGGCCTCGGTCCTTGGCATCCTTTTGAAGAGGTCATGAAAAACAATCAGAAGAAAATTCAATTGAACATCTAATACATGAGTTCATGATTAAAAATCAAGAGAAATATATTAAGAGTGAAGAAAGACTTGGAAGATCGACCCAGGAAATCTAATATTAAAAAGAAATAGTTCAGGGCCGGGAATATGGCTTAGTGGTTGAGTGCTTGCCTAGCATGCATGAAGCCCTGGGTTTAATTCCTCAGTACCACATAAACAGAAAAAGCCAGAAGTGGTGCTGTGGCTCAAGTAGCAGAGTGCTAGCCTGGAGCAAAAAAGCTCCAAGAGGGCTGGGAAGGTGGCTCAGTGGTAGAGCACTTGCCTTGCATGCATAAGGCCCTAGGTTCGATTCCTCAGCACCACATAAGCAGAAAAAATAAAAAAGCTGGAAGTGGCGCTGTGGCTCAAGTGGTAGAGTGCTAGCCTTGAGCTGAAGAGCTGAGGGACAGTGCCCAGGCCCAGAGTTCAGGCCCCACGACCGGATCCAAAAAAAAAAAAGCTCCAAGACAGTTCCCAGGTTCTCAGTTCAGGGCCCAGGACTGGCAAAAAAAAAAAAAAAGGAAAGAAAGAGAAGGAAGGAAGGAAGGAAGGAAGGAAGGAAGGAAGGAAGGAAGGAAGGAAGGAAGAGTTCAAAAAGAGAGAAAGAAGGGAAATTTTAGAAAAGAAAAAGACACACAGGTAAATACCCCAGATCTGAAATACTCAAGTCTGTAGAATAGAAAATACCCAAATCAAAAAAATGGAAGATGTGTCATAAAATTTTCTGCTTTCAGGAGTGAAGAAAAACCTCCCAAACACATTCTGATAGAGAGGAACAGGTCACATACTAAAGTTCAGTAGACAAGGTCACACAGTAAGGATCAGGGATCAGCAGATGAAGTGATGTAGTAAGGATCAGGGATCAGTAGTTCAGGTCACCCAGAAAGGATCAAGGATCAGAAGACATCAGGGCTTTCCAGTAGCAACCATGGGTTCTAAAAGACATCGGAATATTGTGTGCAGAATTCCAACAGCAAATCATTTCAAACCTAAAAATTCTACAACTAGCAACAGTAGTAAAGACATGGAGGATGGAGTGAAGGGCGGACTGGAAATGACTGGCAAAGAACAGAAGAAGACCAGAGCACCAGCAGCTCACACCTGTCATCCTAGCTTTAAGATGGCTGAGATCCGAGGATCTTGGTTTGAAGTCAGCTTTGGCAGAAAAGTCCATGAAACTCTTACCTCTAATAACTTCCCTCTCCCCCGCCCCCCCAAAAAAAGCCTGAAGTGGATGGAGCTCAAGGGGTAGAGCACTAGCCTTGAGGACAAAGAGGCTCAGAGACAATGTCCAGGTCCTGAGTTCAAGCCCCACAACCACACACATAACATACAAAAAGTCTCTTTTTTGCCCCAGCTGGCTTCGAACTTCAATCCTCTGATCTTAGCCTCCTGAGTAGCTAGGATTACAGGTGTAATCACCAGCACCTGGCCCTCCTAACGTCTTAGGATAACATACAGGAGGCTCCTGTAAACAGACCCACAGCTCTGCCCTCTGTATGAGTAAGATATCCTTATCGATGATACATAATACTTGGTAATAAATGTTTATGGAAGGGTTTATGCTTTTACTATATAATATTTTGTGTGTGTGTATATGTGTGTATGGTGTGCTTAAAATCAGGACTGTACCTGAATGCTGTATGTTTGAGGAGCTATTAAGAGGAAAAAACATATTTTTTGAGACAGAGTCTTGCCACGTTGTACAGGCTAGCCTTGAACCAGATCTTCCTGCCTCAGCCTAAGTGCTGGGATTACAGGGGTGCACCATCACGTCCAGCTGAACCACTGAAGAGTTGTAAGCAATCGAGTGACTTGATCACACCTTCATTTTAAGAATGAGCTCTGCAGCTGAGTGGCTCAAGCCTGTAATCCTAGCTACTCAGGAGGCTGAGATCTGAGGATCATGGTTCAAAGCCAGCCTGGGCAGGAAACTCTGTGAGACTCTTATCTCCAATAAACCACTAGAAAACCAGAAGTGGCACTGTGGCTCAAGTGGTAGAGTGCTAGTCTTGAGCTGAAGAGCTGAGGGATAGCACCCAAGCCCAGAATTCAAGCCTCATGACAGACCAAAAAAAAAAAAAAGAAAGAAAGAAAGAAGAAAAAAGAATGAGCTCTGCAGCATGCTGGCCAGGTAGAGTATGAATCCCATAGCTGCTGGCCAGAGCTGGGATGCCCTGCACACAGACAACAACCATTCATGGAGCCACGAGTGAGTCAAAAATTTCCTGTAACAATTAGCATGGTGGCACATGCCTGTAATTCCAGCATTGCATAGGCTGAGGCCTGAAGAGCAATAGTCCAAGATGAGCCTCGGCTACATAGCAAGACCCTGCTTCTAAAACAAAGGAAACACAGAAGAAGGAAAGGAGGAAGAGCCAGAGGGAGGAGGGGGGATTGAGAGAAGAGGGGGGAAAGGGAAACAAGGAAGGAAGGACAGGAAGAAAACCTCACCTCAACCAATAAGATGCAGCCTGAAATCCAATCTGTTACTGGATGCATGGCCCACAGCTTAGAAAAAAGTGATGATGCGGCCAGGCATTCTCCTAACTCTAACCCTAGCCCTAACTATACCTGAACTAAGAAGTAATACACATATTCTCAGTTGCATTCATCCTAACTATAATTGCCTTGTAACTTTTTTTTGTCCAAGACCAGGATTTGAACTCTTTTTTTTTTTTTTT